CCAGGCACGCAGGCTTCAGTAGTTGTGGCTCACTGGCTCTAGAGCACAGGCTCAGTAGTTGTGGTGCACGGGCTTAGTTGCTCCGCGGTATGTGGAATCTTCCCGGACCAGGGATTGAACCCGTGTCCCCTGCATTGGCAGGCGGATTCTTAACCACTGTGCCACCAGCGAAGTCCCTGTTTGTTTGTTTTGAAGTATAATTGACCTGCAACACATTGTTAGTTCCTGGTGCACAACACAGTGATTTGATATTTCTATACATTTCAAAATGACCGCCATGATAAATCTAGTTGTCACTAATGGACTAATTTTAAACAAATTAAAGCATATCCACTCAATGAGATCCTATACAGCCATAAAAAAGAGTAAGAAAGTGCTTTATGGACAATTTGGAACAATCTTCATGATATATTAAGTGAAAACACAAAGGGTAGAGTATATACACTATTTTACCATTTGAATTTCTAAAAAACACATAAATATATTTGCTTGTCTTTACAGAGACTATTTCCAGAATTATATCCAAGGAAGTAGTAACTTTGCCTCCATCAGGAAAATTGGGTAGCTGGGGGACAAGGGTGGAAGGTAGTTTTTTCACTATATGTACATCCTCTGTACTTTTGGATTTTGAACCATCTGCAGAATTATTTTCTCTAAAATAAATAAAAGAAAAAATAATAATTAAAGGAATCATTGCTTATGTCGAGGCCCGAGAATCCCAGATTGTCCTGTTACTCTAATCCCTTCCACATATTTCTGCCAACTAACACTCCTTAAACACAGCTTTGATTTTTTTGATTTCTTTTTGCCTGGGACACAAGAATGGACACCTAAACACACCACAGCTGAGCTAACTCCTTCATAACTGGCCTCACGATGCCTAAGCACTATTGTCTCCCAATTTGATCCAATGAACATATGTGCTGCAGTTCCTCTCACCTCCAACCCCTGGGTCATGTGATTTTCCTCCAGAATCCGCCCCCACCTCCACCTTCTCAGTGTTTTCTGGTCCCTTCAAGATCAGTTCCACCTCCTCGGGGAGGCCGACCTTACCAACTGGGGCTACAATGGTCCCTCACGTCTCTAAGTCCTATAGCCCCTCTGTATGTGGCACAAGGGCCTCTGCAAAAGACCCGTCTCCCCAGTCAGACTGCCGCTTTGAGTGCAGGGACCTTCTCGTATACTTGTTTTATATTTCTTAGACCATTTGCACAGCACTAGGCTCGAGATACATTCTCAAAAATATCTGGTAATTCATTGTGCTGAACAGCTCCCTGGAGAAGTCTGTGTGCTCAGGACTCATTGCATCCTTCCTTTCCCTCTCCGATTCAGTCCGCTCTAGTGTCCAAAGAAGGGTGTTCTCTGGAAGGACAGTTCATCTATCTTAGAATAGTGACAAAAACCTCCCTGGACTTCCAAAGCACAGGCTTTGTCCCCATTCTGGCCACTGAATCCCACAGGCTCCATTTAAGACTATTTCTGGGCAAGGTAGTGAAAAAGGTAAGGAATGCAAGGTAAGCCACCAGGCTCACACAAAGACATTGGGGGACTTCCCTGGTGGTCCGGTGGGTAAGACTCTGTGCTCCCAATGCAGGGGGCCTGGGTTCGATCCCTGGTCAGGGAACTAGATCCTGCATGCTGCAACTAAGACCCAGTGCAGCCGAAAAGAAAAAAAAAAAAGACATAGCATATTGATTCAGGGGTCCTGACAATAATCAGGCCAAAACACGCACTGGAGACAGAAAGGGCCAGTAAGGTAAACAATCCAAATTGATGAAATACACATTTCTTGGGGGATTCTGCCTGAAATTCTCTTCCCACCCAAGCAAATCCAGACCAAAATCCCATAGCCCACTTAGAAAATAAGCTGTCAGGAAAGGCAATTGACCCAGAAGTGACTAGAAGCTTCTTCTAGTAGAACAAAGAGAACTATAGTGAGGATTCTTCCTACACATTTCTAAAGCTCCACATCCTCTTGATGTATGCTCTATCTTATTAACAACATAACCCAAACCAACACCTTCTTTCCCAGACAGAAGTGCTTGCTTACCTGTCCATCTCTTAATTCTTTCTCATTATGGAAAGAGCAAGAGTTTTCATTCATGACTCAAAATCATTTGTTCAAGTGAACTCTGTCCTTGGGCTCAAAAAGGAGTTTAATAAGGTCTGAGATTAGAAGCTCTGGGGAGAGCCCTAGATCCGACTGTTCTACCTTTGCCTTCCTTCTTGGCAACCATTTAGACTAAGAACAAGAAAACAGTCCCTGTGTGCCATCACCAGGGTGTAGGTTTCTGTGAGTCCCGAAAGAAGTCCCTGAGGTTTCTGGAGCATCAGCCCTGAAAAAGAAAAAAAATTAAAGAATAAAACTGGTTTCATCATTCAATTATGCCTCTGTTAAGAACTGACTTTAGGGCTTCCCTGGTGGCGCAGTGGTTGAGAGTCCGCCTGCCGATGCAGGGGACACGGGTTCGTGCCCCAGTCCGGGAAGATCCCACATGCCGCAGAGCGGCTGGGCCCGTGAGCCATGGCCGCTGAGCCTGCGCGTCTGGAGCCTGTGCTCCACAACGGGAGAGGCCACAACAGTGAGAGGGCCGCATACCGCAAAAAAAAAAAAAAAAAAGAACTGACTTTAGAAATCTTCAAGCAGCTGTAAACATATTCTGAATAAACAGGCTTCTTTAGCCAAATGCCTGCCTCTTACTATCCATGTCACTGGATGGAAAGAAGGGGTCCCTGCAGGAGTCCGAGGGCTGGACCATCAGTACCCAGGAGGCAGCACCAGTGTAAGCGGTGGGGATCTGTTCCTGACGATGAAGTTACTGAGATTTGGGGCAGCATCTCAAAGGGGTGAGGCTGATTTAGAGTGACACGTTGGTGCATGGTCTTAGCTTAAGTGCTCAGGCTTTGCTTAGGTCTCAGACGCAGGTTGGGCCTAATACCAGATTCGGTTCCTACGACGGTAGAAACTCAAAATGCAACACTGTGCCTACCCTTCCTCAATTAGCACCAACACTGTACATGTGGCAGCTGCCTAGCCAGTGTGGATAGCTCTAAGCCCTTCCTCCCATGAGTCCACCTTAGGAAGAGGGCTGGACAGGCCCACACCTCATCATGGGGTAAGTGGACACCATGGATGTCTGTCACAACAAGAATCTGGGTAAGTATGCAGATGACTGGCAGTCGTACCTCACAAACTTGGTTGACTTTTTTTTTTTGGCACGCTGCACGGCTTGCAGGATCTTAGTTCCCTGACCAGGGGTTGAACCCAGGCCCTTGGCAGTGAAAGCGTGAAGTCCTAACCACCGGACCGCCAGGGAATTCCCCAGACTTGGCTGACTAAGGAAGGAGGGTGGCACTGCTCTGAGGTCAGCCCTCCAGAGAATATGATCTGGGTTCCCTACAAACTGGCTGCCAGTAACAAGATGGACTCTTTGTCAGGGGGCAGGACGCACTGACTGATTCCTAACACCAAGAGCGGGAACACCTCCCGACTCTAGGGCTAGACATTTGGCTCACTGTAACTGAGGGGGAGGGCAGTGCTCCTCAGGAACTAGCTCTCTCTGGGGTCTCAGCATCTGTCTCCCTTTCCTTTCCCTCCTCCTTGGCCTCCATGACGGCATATGACCAAACACTCATACACGGGCCAACCTTGCGAAGGTGACAGGCAAGTATGGTGAGGGCAATCTCAGGAAGGCTCTTCTGTTACTGGGCTCGAAATGTATCAAGCAGCATAGATGCATGACCAACTTTACATGCCTGCTAGCGCCTCAGTTCTGGCTGCCGCCCTGCTGGGGGCTTCAATAGGGACAGTTACTATCTTTAACAGAGAAAGAAAAGAGCAGAAACTGTCAAACAAGCAAGTACTGGAAATCACAAAGTCACTCCTACCAATATTAGGCAAGTTCCTCAGGCTGGGCCTGAAGAAATGGCCATCCTATAAAGATGGATCCTTTCCAAATTCAGTATTTATGGTGCACCCACTTTACTTTTTTTTTTTTTTTGCGGTACGCGGGCCTCTCACTGTTGTGGCCTCTCCCGTTGTGGAGCACAGGCTCCGGACGGGCAGGCTCAGCAGCCATGGCTCACGGGGCCCAGCCGCTCCACGGAATGTGGGATCTTCCCGGACCGGGGCACGAACCCGTGTCCCCTGCATCGGCAGGCGGACTCTCAACCACTGCGCCGCCAGGGAAGCCCACCCACTTTACTTTTTTAATTAAAAAAAATTTTTTTAAATTGAAGTAGAGTTGATTTTCAATGTCATGTTAGTTTCAGATGTACAGCACACTGATTCAATTATATATATAATATATATCTGAATACAGATATTCTTTTTCGAATAGCTTTCCATTATAGGTTATTACAAGATATTGAATATAGTTCCCTGTGCTATACAGTAGGTCCTTGTAAACTCTGAATAGGTATTTAATCTAGAAATTGGGTCCACACCGTAAATAAAAATGCGCACACAGGTATGCCACTTCTTTCATCGGCCTTGTCGCTGGGGCCTCCCCAGCCCTTCCAGCCCCGACCAGGCCTCCGCCGCAGGCATCACCATCCCAGGGGGGCGCCGCAGCCAAAACTACTGGCCAATTTGGGGTCACAAATCCCGGTGCTCGCCGGCTGGGATACGCGTATGTTAACAGAGATCTCAGTCCATCGAGACACCCAGCCAGAGAGGATGGGGACTCCGGACAGCAACTTTCTCGGTGGGGAAAACAGGAAAGCAACTTGCCTCAGGTCATCCAGAGAGACCAAAACCGATGTCTCCGGTCTGCCAGTAAGGAGTCTCTCTCTGTTCTGCAACTCTCAGCCTTGTCTCGCCCCAGAGCGACCATTTCCGCCCCACATTCCTTCTCCTTGGACCCCCGGGTCTCGCCGGCTGAGCCCCCGAGTTCCCTGAGCTTTCGCAATTGGGGTGCCTCCTCCGCGCATGCGCACGGGCCTCCTCCGCGCATGCGCACGGCCTTCCGCGCCTCCAGAGACGTGAGTACGAAGAGCCGCAATGGTCAATCTCCGCCGGAGACTTGGCTTCTGGCCAAAAAGGGCCTGGCTGAGCAGTGGCCAAAGTTGGCTGTGCCTTCCGGGTGCGAGGATAAGCTAACTGGGCAAAGCCGCGGCCGCAGAGCCCGGGCGCAGTCGGAGCGGACAGGTTCCGATGCCAGCGCGATGTGGCTGTTGCTGCTGCCGCTGGCTGCGCTGCTGCTGGCCGTCCTCGGCAAAGTTTGCAAGGGGTTGTTCTCCAGCAGCTCCCCGAACCCCTTCTCCGAGGATGTCAAGCGGCCACCCGCGCCCCTGGTGACCGACAAGGAGGCCAGGAAGAAGGTTCTCAAGCAAGGTGAGCGGGAGGGACCCCGGGGTCTGAGGCTGCGCCTGGGCATCCTCGCGGGTTAGCGTTCCCCAGATGCAGAGTGATGGGAGGGCTTCTTTGCACGTGGAGGCACCCGCTTTAGAGTCCGCCACTGGCGAGAGCCTTGGTCCCCCCAGGCCCGGGGAATCGTGGCCACACGGGCGCGGGCATCGTCCTCGGCGAGCCAAGTCTTTGGCATAGCCACGCTCAGGCCCTGCCACTTAGTATAGCGGTGGCTAACCGGATAAACAAGAGACCCTTCCCCTACTTTGCTTTAAGACCTTAACGTTTTCACTTATCTTCCCCATGGGTTCAGGGACTTGGGAGAGCTGCACAGAAACCTTTATAGGAAATTGCATTTGGCCCATCAAGTGATTTGGCTGGTTATGCCTGCTCCCATCTCTTGTTGAAACGAGGCTCAACAGGGTGACTCAGGCTCAGAGCTGCTCTTCCATTGACCTGCACTGTCATCTTTAAAAAGTATTTGCGAATTTCTTCTAAGGTTTTAAAGAAAGAGTTCTACTGCTTAAAAAAGAAAAAAGAAAAAAAGAATAACCTGTAAAGAGAATAATCTGTTGATATCTGAGATCTCTCTCACCTGTTCACTTGTAAATTTTAGTATTCTGTGCAACAAGTCTTGCTACACAGTTGGAGACAGTATTGTTCTAAGTGGAAGGCCTATTAGTTTGAACTTCTGAGATCAGAGTTTTAATTGGACTCTGTCACTAATTTGCTGCGAAAACATTAGCAAGTCACTCCATTTATCTGGATTGGTCTAAAAATGAGATGACTAGTTTAACTGTTTTTCAAACCAGGTTGTGATCTCTTAGTGGGTCATGAAATCAATTTAATGGGTTGCAACTAACATTTTAAATGACAGTAGAATGGAAAATATCAGAGTGCATAATACATGGTTCTGGTAAGTATTGTGAAACTTCTGTTTCAGGTATTTATATTATATACTAACATATGTTCTGGGATGTGAATATGAAATATATTTTTCACTATAGGTCTTTTAAAAAACATTTGAAAAGTTGAAAGTTTACTGAGTTCCCTAGCAGCTTGAAAAATTCCAAATCTCAGTTCTTCAGGAGTGATCTTTTTTTTAAAATATATTTATTTATTTATTTATGGCTATGTTAGGTCTTCGTTGTGGTGCATGGGCTTCTCATTGTGGTGGCTTCTCTTGTGGAGCACAGCCTCTAGATGTGTGGGCTTCAGTAGTGTGGCACGTGGGCTCAGTAGTTGTGGCACATGGGCTCAGTAGTTGTGGCATGTGGGCTCAGTAGTTGTGGCTTGTGGGCTCTAGAGCACAGGCTCAGTACTTGTGGTGCACAGGCTCGGTTGCTCCGCAGCATGTGGGACCTTCCCGGACCAGGGCTTGAACCCGTGTCCCCTGAATTGGCAGGTGGATTCTTAACCCTTGCGCCACCAGGGAAGTCCCTTTAGGAGTGATCTTGAGAGAACAGATCTTGTGTAGGAAGTGCCCATACAGCACCACGGGCTGTCCAGTTTTGTCTTGTTTAGGTGCTTCCTCCTCAACCCCACCTCCACGATTTCTCAGAGCAGCTCTGTCCTGCCTCTGCATCAGGATGTTGAAGAACCATCATCCGACTGGGCTGCTCCACTGCTAACTGCAGACCCTGCATTTTCCAAAGATAACCTGCTTGTGAATGGACCAGTCCATGAGCCAGCAGCCTGCACTGGCCCCCGTCCCCCTCCTTGTTTTCTTTCTTCCCTAGCTCGCTCTCTGTCTGCACTTAGGTTTCTCAGCCTGTATTGCAGCATTGTTTTGTTCCTATGATAGTTTGTGGATTTTTTACTTTCTTTGCAAGTAGGAAAAATCCCCAGCTACATAGTGGCTTTCCTTAAATCAGTTCAGATCAAACCAAATCACTTTGTTTAACCCGCCTGGCTGGTCCTGAATATTTCCCAGGTAAAATGTTTGAGACATTTTAGTCAGGAGCTCCTTGCCAAACTGCTCTAGAGTTTTCTGGTGTTGTACAAGCTAGAGAATTCTGCCTTGGTTTCCACATCACTGCTCTTTCACTGCCCCCCAAGAAGCCCCCACCTCCATCTCCTCCATCTGCTGCAGCTTTCTCAGCCAGCCGAGTGCCAGAGAAGCTGGATGTGGTGGTCATAGGCAGTGGCTTTGGGGGCCTGGCGGCAGCGGCGATCCTGACCAAAGCTGGCAAGCGAGTTCTGGTGCTGGAACAACATACCAAGGCGGGAGGCTGTTGTCATACGTTTGGACAGAATGGCCTTGAATTTGACACGGGTAAGGCTTCTGTGGAAAAGGGCTGGGAGCTGGCGGTTTGGAGCAGCCGTGGTGGGATGATCCTGGGCATTTCTGTGATTTTGGAGGCCCCGTCTTCTCCCTGGGCACGCTTTCCTTGTCTGACAGCTGTACCCTCTGGCAGCCGAACTGGGCAGGGATTTGGTGGTTTTTGCTGCGACTCCCCTCTACAGAAAGGGTGGGTACCCCCTCTGGGCACAGACTCAGCCCTGCAGGACAACTTCTTTCACCTTGCTTCCTTGTTGGAGCTTTTCCAGGGCTCAATCCCCATATCCCTATGACCCTTTGTTTTTTTGTCTCCCAACAGGAATCCATTATATCGGGCGCATGCAGGAGGGCAGCTTTGGCCGTTTTATCTTGGACCAGATCACTGAGGGGCAGTTGGACTGGGCTCCCACGGCCTCTCCCTTTGACATCATGGTACTAGAAGGGCCCAATGGCCGAAAGGAGTTTCCCATGTACAGTGGGGAGAAAGCCTACATACAGGGCCTCAAGGAGAAGTTTCCCCAGGAGGAAGCTGCCATCGACAAGTATATAAGGCTGGTTAAGGTAACACGGACATGCTGAGGACCCCCTGCTTATTCCCAGCAAGGCTGACCTTCCTCATTAGCGGAGTGATGGGTAAGGGAGGCAGGAAGAAGGAACAGGCCTGTCTGTCTGGAACTCAGCCTCTGCTGGAGTTGGCCTCTGTGCCCCGGGGGCCCTCTGTCTCTGGAGCCTGGGCTCCGCAGCTGCCACTCTCACTCTGGCCTCTGGGGGGCGCTCAGCTCTCCTCCCTGACCACGCTGGCCTCCCTGTGGTCATATCACCACTTTTTCACTTCATCTGGTTGGGATTATTCAAAAGGAATTTGGGCTGGAAACTGAGAAGCAAAAAAGGACTCACCTGAGAGTAGAATGGGAAAAATTCACAGAGTACGGAGTTTTTTGTTTTTCTGTTTATAAATTTATTTACTTTTTTATATTTGGCTGCTTTGGGTCTTCATTGCTGCGCGCGGGCTTTCTCTAGTTGCAGCGAGTTGGGGCTGCTCATTGCGGTGCGCGGGCTTCCCATTGCAGTGGCTTCTCTCATTGCGGAGCACGGGCTCTACGCAAGTGGGCTTCAGTAGTTGTGGCATGCGGGCTCAGTAGTTGTGGCTCCCGAGCTTAGTTGCTCCGTGGCATGTGGGATCTTCCCGGACCAGGGATCGAACCTGTGTTCCCTGCACTGGCAGGTGGATTCTTAACCACTTTGCCACCAGGGAAGTCCCAAGTACAGAGTTTTAAAATCCAAATTCAGCCAAGTTCAGCCGGGGCTAAGTGTTGCTGGCCCTCGGGCTATGCAGGCTGTTGGAAAGGCGAGTCAGGAGATGAGATCTGTTCCTCCCTGCTCATTCCCTTCCCCAGGTGGTATCCAGAGGAGTCAGTCATGCCATCTTGTTGAAGATCCTCCCGCTGCTCATGGTTCAGGTCCTCAACAAGTATGGGCTGCTCACCCATTTCTCTTCGTTCCTCCATGCATCCACCCAGAGCCTGGCCGAGGTCCTGCGGGAGCTGCCAGCCTCCCCGGAGCTCCAGGCCGTGCTCAGCTACATCTTTCCCACTTATGGTGGGTACTGGCCTTGGGCCCCAGGCAGCTCCTGGCTCTCAGTCTTTCTTCCTGAGCCTGCTTGGCTGACTGAAATGAAACAGCACACACCCCAGGCCCTCTGGAGCTTATGGAGGAGATGTCTGTCCGCCTTCCTACTGGACACACTGATAAAAATTCCCTTCACCCACGCCCTGGATGACTTTCCTTTCCAACCAAAACTGTCCTCCTTGGCAGCATGACAGTTTGCAGGGAGGACATTCCCACTGGCCTCAAGACCTGTAAGGTTCCCCTTTCCCCACATTTGGATGGAAACAGGCCCTCTGGCTGCCCTGAGCCCTGGGGATCACTTGGATCCTGGGATGCATAGCCTCAGACTGCGTGTTTTCCTTTTTTTTTTTGGCCATGCCTCACGGCTTGTGGGATCTTAGTTCCCCAACCAGGGATTGAACCTGGGCCCCTGGCAGTGAAAGCACCGAGTCCTAACCCACTGGACCGCCAGGGAATTCCCAAAGGCTGCGTGTTTTCTGATGGGAACCCGTATTCCTTTCTGAACGAAGGTACCGCTGCCCCTCCTGCCTCATCACCCCTTCCTTCCTTCTGTAGGCGTGACCGCCAGCCACACCACCTTTGCCATGCATGCTCTGCTGGTTGACCACTACATAAAAGGGGCCTTTTATCCCCGAGGGGGTTCCAGTGAAATCGCTTTCCACACCATCCCTGTGATTCAGCGGGCCGGGGGTGCTGTCTTGACGAGGGCCCCTGTGCAGAGCATCTTGCTGGACTCAGCTGGGAAAGCCTGCGGTAAGAGCCCTGCATTGTCTTCACAGTCCCTGGCCGGGGTGGGAGAGGCCTGGGATCTCTGGGTGCAGAGCAAAGAAAGCACTGAGGGCAGAAGGTGTAGGAGAACTGACCTCCAAATGGGGGGTTAAAGGCTGGAATCTGCCCCAAGCTGGGGCTGCCCGGGGATAGCGATTGGCCTGGAAGCAAAAAGGACACGGGAAGGATAAAGGGTGGCATGGTTCCCAGAGAACAGTATTTCATCATTTATTCAATAGACAAAAATAGTTATCTGGTAACCTAGGACCTCCTGAGTGTAGGGGCTGTGTCTTTTTAATCTTTATGTCTATAGACTTTAGCACATAATAGAGCCCAGTAACTGTTTGTTCAGTGACTGATGGAGTGAGTACGTAACCTGGGTGCTTGTAGGGTGGTGTGGAGGCCGGCAGGATGCCCTGCCTTCAATCTGTAAATGGCAGAATGGGACCCAGACTCTACCCTGGCTCAGGTGTTTGCTGTCACCTGCACACAGCGTCAAAATCCCACCGTGGATGAACTCTGTGAGGAGAGGCTCTATGCAAGGAAGGACTCTGGTAGACAGAACAGGCCATCCAGGCTGCGGGTACTTCAGAAGCATCAGCTAAGGGGGCAGAGAGACGCCTGGGGAAAACAGAGCTGGTGTGACAGTAAATTCACCAGAGGAATCTTTCAAGGAGGAGGTGGTGAGTGGGTAGCCCAGGGCACGCAAAAGTCAAGGGAGAAAAGACCGTCAGCGGTCTCCAAGGGCATGTGTGTAGAAGAGACTGGGAAGTTCCCGGTGGTGAGAGAGGGGTGGCTGTCCAATGTGTGAGACTTTCTCTCATGTTCATGAGCAAGTTCTTCCAGCCATCAGGGGGTGTGTGGACCAAGTGGGTTTATCATTTCAATTAAATTCAGTGGCGGATACATTTATTTGTGTTTTTCACGTGCTAGGTGATAAAAGATAAGTAAATCCTAATCTGTAACTCAAGAAGTTTCCAGTCTCACAGGGAAGATGACTGCGCTATAGTTAAAGTGCCACATAGAGGCAGGCACCAAGGATGGAGGTGACACAGAGGGTGGTGGAACAGGGAAGGTCTCAGACGGAGGTCATGAAGGGTGAGAGGAAGCTAGCCAGAGGGGAGGGGTGGTTATTCCAGGCAGGGGGAACCGAATGTGCAGAGGCACAGAGGTATGAAAGAGCTGAGTATTTTTAGGCATCTGAAAATGTTGGGTTGAATCGTAAGAGACTGCCACATTTATAGGTTAAAAAACGGTTGACTGTCAGCTATTTCATACAGTCCTACCTAATAGTTTAGTGAGAATGGCCAGAGGTGAGGCTGGACGCACGAAAGGGACCACATCAGGGAAGGCTGAGACAAGACCTTGGAGTTTAAGCAGAGGTTGAGGTGTCTTTGGAGGATTTTGAAAAGAGCAAGTTGGGACGGGAAGTCTGGCAGCTGTGAAGAAGGGTCTAGGATTCCAGTGAAGGCCTTCAGCCCGTGGGCTCTTTCGGGATTCGTGTGAAGGTTGGTGGGTTGCTCAAGGGAAGCGTGCCCACGCAGGGTGGGGAGAGAGGTAGGAAGCCAGGGCGGGGACCGTGAGCCAAGAGGGCAGCGCTTCAGGATGGTTACCTCACTTTGCAGTTTGGCCTGGGGCCTGCCCGCTCGGGGTCAATGTGGGAGAGATCTGGGGGGTGGGGAATAGGGACCTTTTTTGTCCTCCTGGAGCTTACAGAACCTCAGTCAAGCTCTTGTGCCTGCAGGTGTCACTGTGAAGAATGGTCAGGAGCTGGTGAGCATCTATTGCCCCGTCGTGATCTCCAACGCAGGATTATTCAACACCTATGAGTACCTGTTGCCAGAGAAGGCCCGCTGTCTGCCAGGTAAACGACTGGGCTGCGTCACTGTCCTCCAGGTGCCCCAGCCCTGCCCCCTGCAACCAGCTGGCTCAGCCTGGCTGATGCTTCCCCCAGCGTTAGCACTGCCCTTTGACCCTCCATAGGCAGAAAAGGTGAGCACACCGGTTTCTAACATCCGTTCCCAGAAGGCCTCTGTTTAGGGGGTGGCATCAACTTCCTTTGTATCACATCTTCCCCAAAGACCCTTTGGTCCTTATCTCTCATTTCATTCTTGGCATATTTACTCCCTTTCCCCTTATCACCTCAACCATGTTTCCCTTTCCTCTTTCAAGTCTCCAGTCCTAGTTGCCCATTTCCAGTTTCCCTAGATCTTAGATCATCTCTCTGATAGTCCATGATGGTGGCTTGAGTCCTAAAGGAACGTTTCTTGGATTTTCACTGAGTTTGCCCTATGAATCCTGCTTCCTTCCTTAATTTCTCACTTATTTTGAGTGGGGAAGCCTGATCTGACATTGTTGGTAAGGGAAGCTAAGGCTGGCGTGGAGAAGAAGGCCTTGATAATAATGTTGTGGGCCTGCCTCTTCAGGAAGCAGCTCTGTATTGGTGCTGAGGCTGCAGGAGTATCCTCCGCTCCGTGAGCCCTGAACTCAAAATAAGCCTCAGTCTAGTCATCTCCACTGATAGGCCGTGTCCAAAACTAAAAGCCCGATTTTGTTCTTGCCTTGATCCTCGGCCACTGGGTAGAGGGCTCGTCATCCTAATGTTGATGGCTGGGGAAACAGAGGCACACAGGTGAATAACTGCCCAAGGCCACCCAGCTGGAGGTGGCCAAGCTGAGAGGAGAAGGCTGGTGTGTCGGACTCGAAGCCTGGGCTGCTGGCCCGCTCTGGGCTGGGAAGCATGGGGCTTCCAGAGCGAAGGCCTCACTTGAAGGGGCAGGAGAGCAGGTCGGCCCACAAGGAACAGAGTGGCTGGGCCAAGGTTAGCTGGGACGTCACCATTTGGAAATGTAGCTGGCAGCTCCCCATGTGATTGAGGGGAGGAGGCCGCTGGCTGGGAGGGGACCGGCGATCCTGGAGGGTGAGGGAGAGGCATCTGCGTAAAGGCCTCTGGCTGGGGTGGGAGGTGGGGAGTAGGGAGCCGCTCACGATGAGTTTGGGGTGGAAACCCCGGACTTCACTGGTACCCGGGGAGGAGCGCTGTGGAAAGAGCGCTCCGCCCCAGAGGGCGGGCCCAGGGATGTGGGTTCAGTAGAAAAGTGAGGCCTTGGATTTCCTGGTGGGGGAGAGGGTGGGTGGCCGTCGTGATTGTCTCTGAGGTACAGGCCATGTGCTCCCGGGAACTGGCCTCCTCAGCCCTCTGCCTCACTTAGCTGGGCCTCGGCCGGCATCTGCTCCTGGCAGGGGCCTCCCCTCTCTCAGGCCGGGTGAGCCGAGTGGGGTGGGGCAGAGACCGCCCGGTGGCCTTTGGTACTTCGTGCCTCCCTCTCTCCCAGGACCTCTGAACCCTGACACTGTCCCCTGACGGGCCCAGTGTTCCCCCAGGCCCGCCTTCTCTCCAGGCAGCCATGCCACAGACTTAGCTGCCGAGCTTGCCTCCCTTCACTGGCGGAAGCAGCTTCCACTGCTCTTACGTATCCCAGCCCTGAAGACAGTCTCATGTGCCAGCCCCTACCCGCCTGAAGGACCAGCTGCCTCTCTCGAGCGGGAGCTGCATGAATCCCAGTTTGAGAGCATTTCAGACAGTGGCAGCAGTGATGCTTAACTCAGAGACCCCAGGTGCTGGGATTCCTACGTTTCCAGCTGTTTGGGGGTAGAGATTCTCACAGTTCTGTCTCCCTCTCAGAGATGGGAATGGGGTATCTGGTGGCCTTGGGGACAGGCAGTGCTAGTTGGGGTCGAGGGTGGAGGTGGGGTGGTCAGGCAGGGGGAGGCTTTGTGAATAGAAGCGCCTTTCTTAAATTCCACGGCTGAGCTTTGAGGAGGGTAGTTTGGAGAGGAGGTGTTTTGAGTAGGGAAGACTAGTTTGACAAAATCAGTAGGGGAGCTAAGGCTGGTGTGGAGAAGCAGGGCTTGGTCTCATCGTCGTGTGCCTGATTTGAGACCCAAGATTCTGTTTTTCTGCCAGGTGGGTGGCTCCTGGACCCCTTCCTTCTAGCTGGGGAAAGGGACGGGAGGGGCTGGGTGGAGGTGATGGCTGCGCTAAGGGGCTTCTGAAGACCTGGGGGTATCACTCCTGGGCCCCTGGTTCTCTCTGTGCCCACCCTGCCCCACCTGGAAAGGGGGTGCCCACAGCTGTGGTTCCCCAACGATGCTGGGACCCAGGGGAGAAGGTGCTCCTGACTTTCCAGGGCAATTACTACTACTCACCACATCCCCTGCCCCCCCTCGGCGCTCCCACAGCTGGGCAGCTGGGTGTCTGGAAGTCTTATGCCCGTTGTCCTACTGTAATTGTTACAACGCCCCCTTGACTCTCAGAAGTGGCCTGTTCTGGATGATAAGTTTTATGGTCACCCTCCCCGTAGCACTCAGGTCTTCGCAGCCTCTAATAGGAGAGCCAGCTTCTTCAGGAAAGTGGACAGTGGACAGGCATCACGTCCGATTCCTTGCAGTGTCCCCAAGGCCTCGCAGAGGATCCAGCGCATTTCAGGTCCTCAACAAATATTTGTTACATGAATTAAGCAGAGCAGCCAGTGGCGACTTATCCCTCAGGCAGAGGCTGGAAATGGTCCTGGGAATGGGAACAAAGGATAAGACTCCGGGGCTTTCCTGGTGGCGTAGTGGTTGAGAGTCCGCCTGCCAATGCAGGGGACGCGAGTTCGTGCCCCGGTCTGGGAAGATCCCACGTGCCGCAGAGCGGCTGGGCCCGTGAGCCATGGCCGCTGAGCCTGCGCGTCCGGAGCCTGTGCTCTGCAACGGGAGAGGCCACCACAGTGAGAGGCCCGCGTACCGCCAAAAAAAAAAGGATAAGACTCTGTGGGAGCAACTTCCAGAAAACTGGTCTGGGCTCAGCTGTTGAGAGGTAGGAATGCCCAATGGCTACGGTCCAGGGGACCAGAGGCTCCCACGGTGCCTGTTGCCTTCCTCCTCAGTGCTGTTCTTCCCTCCTCCCCAGATGAACCCTGAAATGCCAAGTGCCAGTGATGCCGTTTGCATCTGTTCATCTGCATCACTTACCATTTTAAGGCCTTGTGCTGACTGTTCAGCACAGGAGGAATTATGCATATTCAGTCATTAGATGGTTTGTATTCAACTTAATACCGAAGCCAAGGCTTACAACCAAATACTGTTCCTAGCCGTGGTCTTTGTAGTGCACAGCCCGTCATCCGCTCGTAGCTGAGACATGAAGGGGACGATGGGAGGCAGTGAGCGGCTCAGAGAGCCGGGCGTCACTCACTGCTCCTCAAGGCGCTCAGAGCAGAAGGCTGAGGCCGTGGCCTTCACAGGCAGGAGGCCAGGTCGAGTTGTCCGAACGTCTGAGGCTGCAGATGAGGTGAGCGGGCGTCCGCAGGTTCCCGGGGCAGGGGCGGCAGTCGGTGGCCTTGTTCACGCGGCCCTGCCGCCTCTCGGCAGGTGTGAAGCGGCAGCTGGGGATGGTGCGGCCCGGCTTGAGCATGTTCTCTGTCTTCATCTGCCTCCGAGGCACCAAGAAGGACCTGGGGCTGCCGTCTACCAACTACTACGTTTATTTTGACACAGACATGGACACGGCGTAAGGCGTGGGTGTGCGTGTGTGGGGAGGGTGTCCTCCCCTGATGCTGGGAGAGAAGCAGCAGGATGCAGGATGGGAGGAAATGGGCAAGAATCTACTCCCAAAGGGCTTTTCCCTACCTAGGCTGTGCCTTGGCCTCACCCCTTCGGGGGTCCCTGGGGGTGACCTACCCTCGGGGTGGTGCTGTTGGCTGCGGGGAACAAGGCCAGGACCGACAGCCCCTCTCCTCCCCCAGGATGGAGCACTACCTCTCTCTGCCTGCGGACAAGGCTGTAGAGCACATGCCCGTTCTCTTCGTTGCTTTCCCGTCGGCCAAGGACCCGTCGTGGGAGGACCGGTTTTCAGGTGGGGCTTGAGGTTCTGGGGCGGGGGCTTGGGCGGGGCAGGGGCAGCAGTAGTGACCCCGCCCTGCATCCCCAGGCCGCTCCACAGGGGTCGTGCTGGTGCCCACCTCCTATGAGTGGTTCGAGGAGTGGCGGGACGAGCCCCAGGGAAAGCGGAGCAGTGGCTACGAGACCCTCAAGAGCTCCTTTGTTGAAGCCGCTCTGTCGGTCGTCCTGAAGCTCTTCCCACAGCTGGAGGGGAAGGTAGGAGGGCAGACTCCTGTGGCTGGTGCATCTCTACCCTTTCTTTGGGGCAGGGGAACCAGGCCTGGGCTGACTGAGCTCCAGGAAGGGATAGGGAGCCCGTGCCGGCAGGCAGCTCGTGCAGGGGCAGGAAAGGAGGTGAGGGTCTCACAAGGTCCCACTCCTACTCTTCGGCTGCCTCTTTTGCCTCCTCAGGTGGACAGTGTGACTGGAGGGTCCCCGTTGACCAATCAGTTCTACCTGGCAGCTCCCCGGGGGGCCTGCTACGGGGCTGACCACGACCTGGGCCGCCTGCATCCTGGTGCGATGGCCTCCATGAGGGCCCAGAGCCCCATCCCCAACCTCTACCTGACAGGTACACTGACTGCTGCATTTTGCCAGGACCTGAGACCCTGGGCTTCCCTGTCACCCAGAGTCCTCCATTCTTGTCCTCAGATCCTGCTGCCCTCTGCAGCCTCCCACACCCTGAGCTGGGCTGCCTCGGCAGCTGTGGACCCTGGTCCTGGTCTGAAGCCATCTCTGGGTGGCCCTGGCCCAGGGGCCCTTGTCCATCCCTGTCCCCCACTTGGGGCGGGGGGCAGCAGTGCACACGGGCCTCTGCTTTTGTCTCCTAGGCCAGGATGTCTTCACCTGTGGGTTGATGGGAGCCCTGCAAGGGGCCCTGCTGTGCAGCAGTGCCATCCTGAAGCGGAACCTGTACTCAGATCTTCAGAACCTTGGCTCAAGGGTCCAGGCACAGAAGAAGAAGAATTAGTTTGGTCAGGGATGAGTCAGAGGAAATTTGGCCAGTGCTCCGGCACAGCCCCTGACTTACCCATGTCTTTCTGCATTAGCTCCTCGATCATGTAAAGTACTCTTGTTTTTAATTTCTGAATAAGAGGTCCGACGCATAAGTGTAGCATAGATGGCGCTTTTTTTTTTTTTTTTTTTGGCTGTGCTGCACGGCATGTGGGATCTTACCCCGGCCAGGGATTGAAGTCCGTGCCCTCTGCAGTGGGAGTGCAGAGTCTTAACCACTGGACTGTCAGGGAAGTCCCTAGATGGTGGTTCTTAAACTGAAGCTCTTCCAGCCAGGCAGGTGGTGATCCTTCATACCTTTTTTTTTTTTTTTTGCGGTACGCAGGCCTCTCACTGTTGTGGCCTCTCCCGTTGCGGAGCACAGGCTCCGGATGCGCAGGCTCAGCGGCCATGGCTCACGGGCCCAGCCGCTCCGCGGCATGTGGGATCTTCCTGGACCGGGGCACGAACCCGTGTCCCCTGCATTGGCAGGCGGACTCTCAACCACTGCGCCACCAGGGAAGCCCCTTTCATACCTTTTATAACATGCTGTCTCTACGAAAGGCCCAGCGTGGGCTACTGACTTGGGTGACTTTAATGGTTCATCAAGCAGCGCTCTGCATCCCACACCCACACCTCCTAACTCTGAGCCATCAAACCAAATATTCTTTTGTCAGGTGGCTAGAACCCTTGAGAGTGTGGGTCGGCTGAAGCAGGATGGACCCACCGGCCCGAGGCTTCTCTTCCCATTCCCCCTTAGTGCCTCTCTGCGGGAGTTCTACACAGTGGAGAGAGGGTGCCTGATGAGCATGGTTTGGGTTGTAGTTCCATAGGTTGAGGCTCCAGATCCCATTTTTCTGGTTCCACTGGCTTTCAGCGGGCGGGGAAACGCCTGTGATAGCGTCCATGTGGACGTGGGGGCAGGGGGCTGACAGGACGCATTAGTTAGCGAGGTGTATGTTACACAAGAACATCCAATGCGCATGCAGCCAGGGTCTAGGCTCGTCTTCCTTATGATCGGGGTTAAATTGGGTTCTCACCATGCCAGCATCAAGATACCCTCCCAGACCTCAGGGCCTGAGCCTCAAGACTTAGCTTCCTAAAATACACAGCGAGACGGGGGCGTTCGCCGTCAGGGCAGAGGCCTGGAAAGACAACTTCACTGGGGTTGATGCAGGTGGACAGAGCTTTCAAGCCAAGGGTACAGCAAAGGACGAGCCCTAAGAGGTAACGACTGTATTATGACAAGAAGCCCAGCTACTCCCAACCTAGGACAAGGGCTGCCTGGTGAGGAGGAGGAGGTTGGCAGGCAGTCAATCAGAACATGGAAAATTACAGACCGTGTGCAAAGCTTGGGAATGCGTTTCCGGCGTATTGGTACTTACGTGGGGACTGGGTGGGAAGGTGAGTGAAGGCTAAAGGTTAAAAAAAAAAAATGACCTTCCACTTATGTTAGGCCTTATTTTAATCAATTTCAATACAGTACTAATAAATTTATTAAGGGGGATTAAGAGGTACAATATAATCAATAATACTGAAATAACTTTGTATGGTGACAGATGGTTACTAGACTTACTGTGATCAATTTGCAATGTATACAGATGTCGAATCACTATGTTGTATACCTGAAACTAATATAATGTTGTATATCGACTGTGCTTTTTAAAAAATAAGGAGGAGAAAAATTAAATTTAATGATTTTAGAGCTTTAACATTTGAAATTTATTTTGGTTTCTGTGCAGAGATACATAACTACGTGGTGACGGCATTCATAAAAGCTAGGTAAAACATTATATGTGGAAAAATACTTGTCATTAGACCAAATAGGCTTTTTTTTAAAAAAAAAAAATTTATTTATTTATTTGGCTGTGCCAGGTCTTAGTTGCAACATGCAGGATCTTCACTGCCTCGTGTGGGATCTTTGTTGTGGCATGCTGGATCTTTTTAGTTGTGGCACGTGGGAACTTCAGTTGCAGCACGTGAACTCTTAGTTGCGGCATGTGGGATCTAGTTCCCTAACCAGGGATCGAACCCAGGCCCCCTGCATTGGGGGCGCGGAGCCTTGGCCACTGGACCACCAGGGAAGTCCCCAAATAAGCTTTAAAGAAATAAAATTAAGTGATTATCATTAAGTTACAAGGTGGAAATACAAAACATTGCAAAACAGTAGTATCCTGCTAATTGGGTAAACAAAAAAAGAAGGGAAACAATTTCAACAATCAACCATTTATTGAACATGTTAGACTTCTGAATTAAAGGGATATCGACAAGTGTGAGGAAGCTGACTTTGTTGGCAGCTTGAAACACTATACAGCTCAGACCCAATGCCTTTACAGAGGAGTTTCTAGATTGGGATATTTAGGAAATTCACACGTGACTTAAGAAACTGAGGTGAGATTCAGCCTTGGTTCTGGATGTACGGTTCAATTAAACTTGAGAATCTCTTCTCAGGATTCTTTCTTAAGCAAGGCAATGCCAAACGCAACTGTCCCAGCGAGAGTTTTTAGAAAACAGCTGGCAGAAGTACAGGGTCTGGTGTATGGCATACTCGTCTTCCCTGTTCAAATGATTCAGAACATGTGCAAAGCGTGCTAGCTTTCATCACACATGCAGCATTACATAACAAGTCACCCTGCAAAAATGAGGGGCAGGCTTTTGAATTAAATGGCATGAAATGGGAGAAGAAAATGAGAATCATTATCGGGAATTTTAGAGGTTTAGAGTTCTGTCACCAAAAGTTTCATTGAAAGCCATTATGTGAAAAGAAATGTCAGTGTGTACACAGCTAGTTGTCAGGTCTTTCTGAGTTATCTTAGCCTTTCCAGGTAGACTAGCCTTCCACTCCCACAGAGTCCAGAGGTAGACTCTTCAAATAATTCTGAAGCACAGATTCCTCCAAATAGAAACCACCCTGCCACCAAAAACTGGGGCCAGGAAAGGAAGCACAGAGCCATCTGGACAGGGCACCTCTCATGCCCGCCCCCCCGCGCCCCGCCCCCGCCGCTGGAGAGATCCTCCCCTCCCCCACCAGTCCACCCTCATGTGCACAATCTCTAGGAAAACATCTTCAAAGAGTCTCTCTTCAAAAAGACAACTACCCAGAAAACAGCTTCTCCTTTGTTGTGGGAGATTTCTTTCAGTGCAATTTCTAAAGTGAAACTTAAATTCTTTTGTACTCTTTCACACAAGAAACCATACTTCTCAGAGGCTCAAAAAGTGAAGCTTTGCAGACTCTACAACAATACTTATGCGTCCACTTGGTGCCAACCTACTTGGTGCCTGAAACCAACCTTTCTTTCTGCTCTCCTCCTTACTATCAATATCCATCCATGAGGGACAGCAACCAGTAGCCAGAAAGAGCCGTGTGAGACCTCAGTTAAGTCACAGCCAGATGTCCTGAACAAAGAACATGTCTCCTTTGCAAGAAGAAACTGAACTCAAGTCCCCGGGGACTGTCCCATGTTAGGCAGATACGCAGATGACGCCCTGGGTGCTCCTGAAGGAGCTTCATTTTCTTGGGGAGACCAGACAGAGATGGCAGATACCGGCTGCCCTGTTTTGCTCAAGTTCCAAAATGTGTGAGTGGTATTACCAGGAGCTATTACAGTAAAATGGAAAGAGCCAATCACGCGGGGCAGGGGAGTCAGGAAGGTGCATGGGCAAACGTGAGCTGGGCCCTGAGAAAACAGGTTTCGGGGAGGCAAGGGAAAGAAGAGAAGGTGGGGGGACGCGCCCTAACTGGAAAACAGCCACCGGAAGCCAGGGACTGGAGGACGCAGCAAGGACGAAAAGGCACAGAGGCCTGGATGGGCCCGGCAAGAGGGACCTTTGGCCCAGCGAGGATGCAGGGAAAGACAGGCAGGACAGTGCCGGCCTGTGGAGCCCTGAACACCAGAGTCCACGAACTTGATTCTCGAAGCCACGAGACACGCTTCAGATCACGGCAAGTACTCTGGAAAGATCACTCTGCTCTCTTCGCATACACAAAAAATGGACAGGAGACCAATGTAGGTGGCTCTTGGAAAAAAAAAAAAAATCTAGGAGAGAAGTGGAATGGGTGGCGGTGTGGGTGGGGCAGGGAAACAAGGAAAATGGAGACTGTAGCTGGAGATGGTTCTCTAAAAATGGACAGGACTTTCGTGACAAGACATAAAAACGGCACAAGTCTGCAGTTCGGAGTTGAGATGATTCAAGAGATTGGGCAGTTGAGAGGGGCCTCTTAATGGGTAGAAGAGAGAAATTCCGTTTCCGTGACAACAGGATGACCAAGCTGAAATATTCAGCACACGGCAGGACTGGGTTCTTTGGGAACTAGGCCAAGGATAAAAACTTGGGAGTCACTCACTCAGAGGATAAAGAATGGATGAGTTTCTAGGGAGACAAAGGAAAAGACAAAGACCTGTCTTTGAGGGCCTTCTCCTCCACCAGCACAGGATAAGACAAAGGAGTTCTCAGAAGCCAGGACAGAGAGACCAGAAGAGGGGAAGTTTGATTTGATGGTCTAAGTGTCCAATTCTATCAGGGACAAGACTGAGCGTTGAGAACAAGCCACTGGATTTGGGGATCTGAACCTCTGGGAAAACATTATTAGCAGGAAGACAAGGACCGAAGTGACTCTGTAAAGGTTATGAGGAAGATACATGGCAAGGGAATGGAAGCTGGACCACAAATAGGATGGATGGGAGCGGGGAATCTGGGCATGCATGAAGACGGAAGGAAAGGGGTGAGTGGAGACAGGAAGAAAGAGAAAACATTAGAGGGGAGGAAGAAAGGCAGGGAAAGGGGAGACAGAAAAGGGAATAAATAACCATGGTCTTAGGGGATGATGCCAAGAAGAGTCCTCATTCCTTACCTCTACAGATGTTACCTGCAGAGAATGAAAGTCTCAACTCAAAGTCACGGGCTGTTTTAAGCGAGGTGGAAGATACCATGACAAACAAGATGGCCCCTTCTTCCGCCAGACTTCTTCAATGGCCTACAATTCATCCTGTTCCTCTCACTTCCCACACTCTTTGCATTTCCCTGAGATCAGCTATTCTCTTTCAGTTTTGTTTTGTTTTTTGTTTTTTTTCCCCAGAAACAACTCTCTTTAGGCTCTTGATAATAGGGTAGCACAACTAGAACAGATTTAAATAAAACAATAATCTGATCCAAAACACTACCCTCAGTTACCTCAGGGGAACTCTCTGAGTTTCTTTCTTTCTTTTTTTTTTTTTTTTTTTAATATTTATTCATTTATTTGGCTGCACTGGGTCTTAGTTGCAGAATGCGGGATCTAGTTCCCCAACCAGGGATCGAACCCGGGCCCCCTGCATTGGGAGCACGGAGTCTTAACCACTGGACCACCAGGGAAGTCCCCTGAGTTTCTTAAATTTTAATAACCCCTGACATGGGACAGAAGGAGAATTTTTACTAATTAGCCTTGGCGTTTTTTATCAGATAAGAGGACCATTACCTAGATTCAGGTAAAGGAGGGAGTATAGTCAGTTTGTAAATGTAAGTCTATTTTAGGCAACAAAGGCAAAACAGAGTTTGTGGGAAACGTGTTTCATAAAAGCCCTTCGAAATTTTTAGACCCAAACCAAACAGTCCTTGCTTTCTTGCCCAAAGCATGAACTCACCCTACTTCAAAAAGTTTCTGTAATGATGGTGAGTAGGGATGAACACAATGTTTCAATAATCGTTAACTGTGATTTTTAAAACATCTGTGATGGGCACAGTGGCTTTACAGCTTTCCTCCCAGAACCCCCAAGTTCAGTTTTCTGCTCAGTACAACTAAATGGAAGTGGCTTCACTTCGTCTTAAATAATATGAAAATGTCAGAAGAACGGGAAGAGCTTGCACTAGGCAGGCTGGACTCGCAGGCAGTAAAGCATGTTTTTCAGCTGCAGTTTTGGTTTGCTGCTCGTGTTCAAAGGAGCCCTTTGCCCATCAGCATTCACTACATTCTACATCTTTTGTAGGGCACATCCCCGCAAAGGGAGAGGCCTTGGTAGAAACGGACCACAGCCTGTAGTTTTCTCCTAGGTCCGCAAAGGTAAGTAGTGGCGAGTGCAATGCTGTTTTCAAGGGCTAACTTGACGACAGGGCCAAGACCCGAGGGAGGGCAGTCAACAGCAGTCACCTGCCCAGGGCTGAGGTCTCCCTTTGGTCACAGCTGGGCACGCCCACATGCTTCCCTACTCACGCTCAGGGGGACAGGCTGGAAGACACCAGCATAAATAACGGGAACACAGGAGGACAAGTTCGCCAAAGTGCAGGTGCAAAACCCAAAGCAATCCCCCCTGCCTCTGCCAGCCGCGACTTGCCACCAAACCCTAGAGGAGGGGGTGTGTCTCTTAGGTCACAGTAGTTTTCTCTTCATTTTTCTTGATTTAGAAACAGATCAGCAGGGAGGACAAGGTTCTCAAGAACAGAAAAATCAAATCTGAAACAAGAGCAACACAATCTATTGGTAACATTCATCTTTTTCCAAAGGAATATACCTCACTGCTATGATCTTGGGGTGGGAGGTGTGGGGGGGAAGATCTTATAGGAGTTGAAGTTCAGGAGAAAAATTCAAAATTAAGACAAACTGACCCTCCACCATACAAACAGCAACTGATAAAATAACAGCACATAAGATTATTTTAAAAGTCAGTTTGAAATAAAACAAACACTAGAAAGATACATACTTGGTGGAGGGCATATGGGAATCTTGGGCGTCTACTGTGCACCATCCTATATTGTTTTGAATTGTTTACATGCACATTTCTTTTAAATCAGAAAAAAATTATAACAAAGGGGAAAAGAAATCCTTGAAGTCAATTATCTGGGAAGGTTCTAGGCCAGAGTTATATTGTGCAGCTGACCTACTGGGCTAGCAAACAAAGAGATTCTGAGCTGCGTGGCTTATTTTGTAACTGGTATGCGGACTGTGTTCCCTGTGGGAAGTCGGGCACCAACCACTCTTTACCAGTGTCCTGGCTGTGGCTGCACAGAGGGAGGGAGGGCGCATGCTGGCAGCAAGGCAGTGTGTCCCCATACAGGCAGGCTGCCTCTGGGGTGGAAGGAGGGCTTTGCTTTCTGGCAGAGGCCTGGGCTGGCCGCACTCAGGAAGTCTATTTGCAGGGCTGATCTAGGGAGCTGGAAGCTCCCAGATCCTACATTTCTGGATTTGTTTGCTTCCAGGGCATGTGGTCTAGTGCTTTACGACCCGGAGTGTGGTTCCAGCAGCCTGTGGTGTCACCTGGAAACTCCCTAGAAATGAAGAAGCACAGGCTCACCCCATACAGAGTTTGCTTTTTTTTTTATATCACAAGTCCTAGGGTGAGTCACATGCCTATGAAAATTTGCGAAGTGCTGATGGAGTGTGAAAAGTACAGGCCGGGAGCCAAGGGAGTTGCCCTCAGGTCTTGATTTTGCCAGGAACTTGTAGTGGGAACTCAGGGGAAAAAATCATAATGTTTCTGGGCCTGAGCTTCCTCATCTGTTGAAGGAAGAAGCTGTGGCAGAGACCTTGAGAATCTCTTCTAGCTCGAACATCACAGACATGTTCACGTGGATGTCTGGTCTGAAAAGGGCGGGGCAGTGGCAACAGCACCCCCAGAATCAGCTGCTGTTGCCGCCATGCCAAACACAAGCCCACTGCCGGGCGCATGTGAGGTTGCATGTCCCTCCTCGCCTCCTTACCTTTTGGTCCAAACGCTGGTAGTCACTGGCCTTTGGCCGCCGTGTAACTTTGGACCTTTTTCCTTCCAGGACGAAAGCAATAATCTGGGGAAAGGAACAAGTCAGCAGTTAACAACTGACTCTCTAATGACATATTTCAGTCTCCGAAATCAGAGGTGATCACGTGGTGGCCCATTTATTAATGACCCTGACAGTAAAAAGAGCAGGACATCCACAGAAAGGCCCTATTAACAATTATAAGGATTATAATTATAGTTATTATATATTATAATATTATAATTATAATTATATTAGTTATATAGTTATTAGTTATATAGTTATTATATTATAGTTATTAGTTATATAGTTATTATATTATAATTATAGTTACATCAGAATCCTTTATACTGCTAAACAGGAAATGACAGATGCAGGAGGGCTCTTCTGGGCTCTAGCTTGTGGTGGTCTGTAAGATTTACTCAAGAGCACGTGGTGAAAAGAACCGCCAACTCCTCCCCAACTTAGCCTCCTCCAGGCTGACCCATCCACCCTCCTTTTATTTTAATATTAAGCAATAATTAATTTGCAGATAATTATCTTATCTGCAAATGTACTCTTTCACCCCACACTTTGCTTCATCTTAACCTTACCACTCTCATTTCATACCTAAGGTTACTCTCCATGAGGAGCACTTGGATGTAGAATAAGGAATGTACCACTTTTTTGTGTGTGTGTGGCCGTGTTGTGAGGCACGCGGGATCTTAGTTCCCTGATCAGGGATCAAACCCATGCCCCCTACAGTGAAAGTGCAGCGCCTTAAGCACTGGACTGCCAGGGAATTCCCAGCAATTACCACTTTTACTAAATGTCTTCCCTCATTTCTCACAGCCCTAGGCCTTATGGCTATCATGAATTGAATCCTTCAATTTTAACCTGCTTACAGAAACTACTAAATTCTTAGGGCTCAATAAGAAATGAAATCATTTTGGGAAAAGAATCTGAAAATGAATATATATACATATAACTGAATCACTGTGCTGTACACCTGAAACTAGCACGACATTGTAAATCAACTACACTTTAATTAAAAAAAAAAAAGGAATGCAATCATTCTGTCCTTAGAGTGGTTACTAAGCAACACAACAAACCCTGCTGAAGTAAAAGATGAGTGTATCCATGCAACTTCTGGCCTTTCGTCTAATCAGAAACTCAACTGACTGCAGAATATAGTCCCTGGGCTCTCTGCTGTTGGTGTTGAAGACTATGTAACCGTTCTTTCTGCCACGGCACATGGAAAACAAAAGCTTGGGAAAGGAAGCTAGAAATAATAAGACAGGAAGCACTGTCTTTTTGAGAGGGGAAACAGGAAGAGAAGGGCTCTAACTACTTACAGACTGTCAGGTACTCAGGTCCTCTAAGGCTGTGACAGATTGTAAGTTCCAAGATTACGGGAGGGGACCGTAATTTGGGTCAGAGCATAATAACGTCCTAAACTTGGCACCTGACTCAACAGCAGAAGGCACTCAGAGGAAACAGACATGAAAATATATGATTTCTAAAAGAAGAATAAAGAACCCTAGCAGGGTCTCAGAAAAAACTGAAGTTTGTTTCTAAATTCCTAGTGCTTACAGGCAGATGAGTGATGGATACCCACACTCCAAGCTTTCAGGATGGAGGAAGTCCCATCCCTCCTCTTTTTTTTCTTTTTTTTTTTTTTGCGGTACGCGGGCCTCTCACTGTTGCGGCCTCTCCCGTTGCGGAGCACAGGCTCCGGACGCGCAGGCTCAGCGGCCATGGCTCACGGGCCCAGCCGCTCCACGACATGTGGGATCCTCCCGGACCGGGGCACGAACCCATGTCCCCTGCATCGGCAGGCGGATTCTCAACCACTGCGCCACCAGGGAAGCCCCCATCCCTCCTCTTAAAGCAACTCTTGACTTACCTTCCGCTTATTGTGGTAGGCAATATAGAGGACAGCAACGAGAATGGCTGCTGTCACCAGATATGCAAAGAAGTGGCTGCTCTCTGCACTGGAACTTCCAAGATTATCCTTATAAAGGTCATCCTTCTTCCTACTCCAGGAATTCAAAACTGTGCTTTCACGGTTCTCACTGGAGGCAGGGCCAGGCATTTCTTTCTCGTCTTTGGGTGGTGCACCCTCTTCAGGCTCTGTATCCCCTTCCTCAGTCTCCTTGGGCTCCTCATCTTCAGGTGGTTCTAAAGACTTACCTTCTCCCTCCTGCTGGGTAGAAGAGCGGTCAGAGTCTAGCAATACTTTTCCCCCAGATTCAGTTATGGAAGGCTGCGGAGCTTTGTCAGTTACTGCGTTTAAATAGGACTTGGTGGGCTCCTTGTTACCAGAAGAGGGACTGGAGACCGACGTGGTGGACTGGTCTCCGGAGGAATTGCCAGGGCGGTCATTCTTGTGCTGCAGCTCGGGTTCCGAACTGCCAGGGACGGTTTTCGCGGTATTCTGATTCAGAGGGGGTCTGTCACTGTGTTCTTGCTCAGGGTGCAGGCTCAACATGAGCTTGGAGTCTCTTGTAGAAGCCGGACCTGTGCTCGGAGCGACTGCTGAGGAGACTGGCAAAGTAGCGGGCTGCGTGGAGCCTGAAACAGAGAAACCGTCTGGCTGAAGAGGGGCAGGCGGAGAGAAAGGAATCCTCAGAACGTTGCAACGGGCAAACAGAGGAAGGGGCTGATGGAGAGCGGAGGGGTGGCGAGGGTCGGGCAGGGAAGAAGTGAGGTCAGGTGGCGACCGGCCACGGGGAGTATTGGTGGGCCTGGCGGCGAGACTGGGGTTAGTGGAGGTGGGTCGAGGAGTTGTTGTGGGAGGCGGGGGGGGCGGGTCTTACCCGCCGCTGCGAAGCTCAGCAAGACGAACACAACCCGTAAACTCATCCTGCACAGACTGCGCTTCCGCCCTCTACTGCTCTCGCGAGATCAGCGCGCGGGCTCAGCGCTCATGCCCCACCCCTTCCTGCGTGCGTCTCCCGCAGCCATACCCGGTCGGGGGGCGGGGCTTGGGAAAAGGCCCGGCTGTGTGTGGTTCACCTGTTTTCTCCGGGATGTTACTTCTTTTTTTGGTGTCGGCGCCGTATTGTCCCCTGTGGAAGGCGTATCCACCTTTTTCTGGTTTCTTTGCTACATAGCAGCCGCTACAGACCGTTACTCCCCCTTTTCTTCTTTGCCTTCATACTTATGAGACAATATAGGCAGAGCAGGAGCTCCCTGGCCCGCGGACGATCCCACGGGAGTGACATCGCTGTGGCCCAGCGCCTCTTCGCCCCATCTTCTGCCTACATTTCTACCTTCTCCCTCTCTCGTGCTTCTTTCCCTGCCGTACACAGATGTGTGGAAATCTGGAAACGGAAACCCACCCCATCACCTTTGTAGCGGGAGCCTTTGCAACCCTGCTCCCCTCTCTCCTGACCCCACGGAAACTGCCCTCCGAGGTAGCCAAAGATCTTTTCTAAAAAGTCCATCCTTTATATGTATTTGTATGGCAGATTCACTTTGCTGTACACCTGAAACTGGTACAATATTGTAAATCAATTACACCCAATAAAAATTTAAAGAAATGGATCTTCCTTGGTGGTACAGTGGTTAAGAATCCACCTGCCAATGCAGGGGACGCGGGTTCGGGCCCTGGGCAAGGATGATCTCACATGCCGCGGAGCAACTAAGCCCGTGAGCCACAACTACTGAGCCCGCGTTCCGCAACTACTAAAGCCTGCTCACCTAGAGCCCATGCTCCACAATAAAAGAAGCCACCGCAGTGAGAAGCCCGTGCCCCGCAACGAAGAGTAGACCCCACCCGCCGCAACTAGAGAAAGACCGTGGACAGCAACGAAGACCCAACACAGCCAAAAATAAATAAATAGTAAATTAATTTATAAAAAGTAAAAAGAAAATGGCGGGGGATGAGACTGGAGCAGAGCCTCCAGCCAGATTAAGTATTAAATGATCTAGGTTGCCATTAACACAGGTTGAAATGTAATCCTGCCAAAAAGGATTACAGCTGCCAGGAGATATAACACTCTTTGCAGGCTGAGTACAATGTTTGGGTTATGTGGCATGCAGTTCTAGTCAGGTGAATTTCTGAAGAATTTTAAGGACTAGTATATGATGTAAATATAGTTTTCAGGAAAAAGTACTTTGTTTTGCTATTTTAAAACCTTTTAGTCCAGTGGTTAGGACTCTGTGCTTTCACTGCCGTGGCTGGGGTTCGATCCCTAGTTGGGGAACTAAGATTCCACAAGCCAAGGGGCGCGGCCAAAACTAAAAATAATAAAATTAAAATAAATAAAAATAATCTTAATAAAAACCCTTTAATATGCTTCTCAATTGTTTCTCTGTTGTAAGAAAATCTCTCACACACACCCTCATTACTAAGGAGAGAATAAGAATCAGAAAGAAGTGAGAAATCTTTTACAAATTAGTTCAGAACTGTGACTCTGGCTTAAGGAAGTGAATTGGTAAATGAATGTTTCTAAAATGTCTCTCCACCTCCCCTAAATAAATATTTGACTAGCATGAAAGGATTTGGCTTAGGACAGATGGTTACTAGACTTATTGTGATGTATTTTGTAATGTATGCAAATGTCAAATCACTATGTAGTATACCTGAAACTAACAATATTGTCCATGAACCATATTTCAATTTTTAAAAAAGGATATTGGCTTGGTGCACTCGTGTGCGTGTTTGTGTGCGCTTGTGTCTGTGCATGTAGGTAGGGGAATGGCAAATTATTAAGCCTGATCTTGTGTCCATATTATTAGCCAGGAGAGAAAATAAGGGTCCAAATCATGCAGAGTTTGTGGGCTATGTCCAGGGTTTTATATTTTATCTTAACATTAACGAGAATCCATTAAAGCTGTTTAAGTAGGGAAAAGATAGAGTAGGGAATTATTTATTTATTTATTTTGGCTGCGTTGGGTCTTTGTTGCTGCGGGCTTTCTCTAGTTGTAGCGAGCAGGGGCTACTCTTCGTCGCGGTGTGCGGGCTTCTCATTGCAGTGGCTTCTCTTGTTGTGGAGCATGGGCTCTTGGCGCGCGGGCTTCAGTAGTTGTGGCATGCGGGCTCAGTAGTTGCGGCAGGTGGGCCCTAGAGCACGTGGGTTTCAGTAGCTCTGGCTCGTGGGCTCTAGAGCACAGGCTCAGTAGTTGTGGCACAGGGGCTTAGTTGCTTTGCGGCATGTGAGATACTCCCAGACCAGGGCTCAAACCCGTGTCCCCTGCATTGGCAGGCGGATTCTTAACCACTGTGCCACCAGGGAAGTCCCCAGAGTTGGGAATTTTTGAAGATTAGTCTGGTCGTAGGGTGAAGAATCTACTCTTGGGGTGATGGGGAGAGAAGAGTGGATTTAGAAGTTAATCAGGTAGGAGGCTGTTGCAATAGTCCTAGTAGGACTAGCATAGGGATAGTGAGAATGGAGGGAAGTGGTTGGACTCAAGATAAATTTGGGAGGTAATACCAACAGACTGGATATAGGCTATAGGCCTGGCTTATGTGAGGCAAAAATTTACTGTGGAGATGGCTTGGATATAGGATATAGGCCTGGCTTATGCGAGGCACAAATCTACTGTGGCACCTATTTCAGGTGTGTGGTTTTTCTCCAGGAAGTGCTGCTACCTAGAATAGGAGTAGAGAAGGCAGATTTTAGCGCTAACTCCTAACTCACACCAATTTTGTTTTAAGGGAATGGTAGGGTGCAACTTGAATAAATCTTAAATTTCCTTGTACTTCTTCGTGATAAAAATACTCAACAAATTTGGAAAAGAAGGGGACTTCCTCAACCTGAAGGGGGCATATACAGAAACCTCACAAGTAACATTATAGTTAATGGTAAAAGACTAGATGCTTTCCTCCTGAGATAAGGAACCATGTCTGCTCCCACCACTTCTACTCAACTTCTTACTGTAAGTAGCCAAGACAATTCAGCAAGAAAACAAAATAAGAAGCATCCAGATTGAAAAGGAAGAAGTAAAACTATCTCTGTTTTCAGATAACATGATCTTGTATAAAGATAATCCTGAGGATTTTCTAAAAATTTATTAGGACGAGTTCAGCAAGGATGTAAGATGTGAGATCAATATATAAAAATCAATTATATTTCTATACACTTGCAACAGACGATCTAAAAATGAAATTAAGAAAAATTCCATTTACAGTAATATCAAAAATAATAAAATAAAATTTAAGAATAAATTTAACAAAAGAAATGCAAAACGTACACTCTGAAACAATAAAGTATTATTTAAAAAAACTAAAGAAGCCCTAAATAAATGGAAATACATCCCATATTCATGGATTGGAAGACATAATTGTTAGAATGCCTATGCTCCCCAAATTGATCTACCAACACAATCCCTATAAAAATCCCAGGTGGTATCTTTGCAGAAATTGACAAGCTGATACTAAAATTTATACGAAAATGAAAGAGACCCAGAATAGCCAATACAGGTTTGAAAAAGACAAATAAAATCAGACTACTCTCATTTCCCAATTTTAAAACTTATTACAAAATTACAGTAATTAGGACAGTGTGGTACAGGCATAAAGATATATGGATGAATGGAATAGAATTGAGGGTCAGGAAATAAACCTATATATTTATGGTCAGTTGATTTTTGACAAGGGTGCTGACTGTTCAACGGGGGAAAGATTAGTCTTTTCAACAAATGGTGCTGGGATAACTGGCTAATAAACATATGAGTGGTTGTTCAACATCATTAGTATTAGTTGGGTAAATGCAAATCAAAATCACAGTGAGACACACTCCACACCTACTAGGATGGCTATGATAAAAAAACAGAAAATAGGAAAATGCATCAGGGAAGTGCAAATCAAAACCACAATGAGATATCACCTCACACCTGCCATAATGGCTATCATCAAAAAACACACGAATAACAAATGTTGGTGAGGCTGTGGAGGAAAGGGAACCCTTGTACACTGTTGGTAGGAATGTAAATCTGTGCAGCCACTGTGGAAAACAGTATGGAGGCTTCTCAAAAAACTACAAACAGAACTACCATATTGACCCAGCAATTCCATTCCCGGCTATATATCTGAAAAAAAACATAAACGCTAATTCAAAAAGATACATGCACCCCAATGTTCATAGCAGCATTATTTACAATCGCCAAGATATGAAAGCAACCTGAATGCCCATCAACAGATGAGTGGGTAAAGAAGATGTGGTGTATATATACGATGGAAAACTACTCAGACATAAAAAAACCACAAAATTTTGTATTTTGCAGCAACGTGGATGGACTTGGAGGGCATTATGCTAAGTGAAATAAGTCAGACAGATAAAGACAAATACTGAATGACATCACTTATATGTGGAATCTAAAAAATACAACAAACTAGTGAATATAACAAAAAAGAAGCAGACTCACAGATATAGAGAACAAACTAGTGGTTACCAGTGGGAGAGTGGGTGGTACAAACCACTGGGTATAAGATAGGCTAAAAGATATAATGTACAACATTGGGAATATAGCCAGTATTTTGTAATAACTGTAAATAGAGTGTAACCTTTAAAAACTGTATTTAAAAAAAAAAATAATATGTTGGTGAGGATGTGGAGAAATTGGAGCCCTCAAACATTTCTGATTGGAATGTAAAATGTTGCAGCTGCTATGAAAAAGAGTTTGTCAATTCCTCAAAATGTTAAACATAGAATTACCAATATGACCCAGCAATCCCACTTCTACATATAAATCCCGAAGAATTGAAAACAGGGACTCAAACGTTTTATATATATATATATATATATATTTTTTTTTTTTTTTTTTTTTTGCTGTACGCGGGCCTCTCACTGTTGTGGCCTCTCCCGTTGCAGAGCACAGGCTCCGGACGCGCAGGCTCAGCGGCCATGGCTCACGGGCCCAGCCGCTCCGCGGCATGTGGGATCTTCCTGGACCGGGGCACGAACCCGTGTGCCCTTCATCGGCAGGCGGACTCTCAACCACTGCCCTACCAGGGAAGCCCCAAACGTTATATTTGTATGTGAAAGTTCACAGCAACATTATTCACAATAGCCGAAGTGTGGAAACAACCCATGTGTTCATCAATAGATGAATAAACAAAATGTAGTTTATACATACAATGGACTATTATTGAGCCATAAAAAGGAATGAAGTTCTGATATCAATACAAGCTACCATATGGATGAACCTTGAAAACATTATGCTAAGTGAAATAAGCCAGACACGAAGGGACAAGTATTGTATTCTACTTATATGAGGTACCTAAAATAGGCACATTTATAAAGATCTAAAGTAGATTGCAGGTTCTTAAAGTCTGGGGGGAGGGAGGAATGGGGAGTTAATATTTAATAGGTATGGAGTTTGTCTGGGATGATGAAATGGTTCTGGAAGTTGTTAGTGGTTACGGTTGCACAGCATTGTGAACGTACTTAATGCCACTAGATTGTCCACTTGTATATATATTTTATATTTTTTATATTTACCACAATTTAAAAAGCTGTATGTCTGAGTAGGGTAAAAAAATCTGGCAAGTACTCAAAAAAAGGTAAAGGAAGACAAGGCTTAAAAAAAATGAAGTCCTAGGGACTTCCCTGGTGGCGCAGTGGTTGAGAGTCCGTCTGCCGATGCATGAGACACGGGTTCGTGCCCCGGTCCGGGAAGATACCACATGCCGCGGAGCGGCCGGGCCTGTGAGCCACGGCCGCTGAGCCTGCGCGTCCGGGGCAAAAAATGAAATTCTGATACAACCTGAATGCACCTTGAAAACATGCTAAGTTAAATAAGCCAGGCACAAAAGGACAAATGTTTTATGATTCCATTTATATGGAATATTTAGAATAGGCAAATTCATTGAAAGAGAAAGTAGATTAGAGGTTACTAGGAGCTGAGGGGACGGGAATGAGGGACTTATTGCTTAATGGTTATAGAGGCTCTGGGGTGATGAAACGTTTTGGAAACAGATAGTGGTGATGGTTGCACGACACTGTAATGGTAATTAAAGCCACTGAATTGCACACCTAAAAATGGTTAAAGTGGTGAATTTTGTTATTTATCTATTTTACCATCATAAAAAATAAAAAAAACGGAATGATGTGCCGATACAGGTTACAACATGGATGAATCTTGAAAATACTCCGCTGAAAGAAGTCAATGAGAAAGGACCACATAGTGTATGATTCCATTTAAACGAAATGTCCAGAACAGACAAAGCCAGAGATAAAAAGTAGATTCACGGATGTAGAAAATGGACTTGAGGACACGGGGAGGGGGAAGGGTAAGCTGGGACGAAGTGAGAGAGTAGCACTGACATATATACACTACCAAATGTAAAATAGATAGCTAGTGGGAAGCAGCTGCATAGCACAGGGAGATCAGCTGGGTGCTTTGTGACCACCTAGAGGGGTGGGATAGGGAGGGTGGGAGGGTGGAGACGCCAGAGGGAAGAGATATGGGGATATATGTATATGTATAGCTGATTCACTTTGTTATACAGCAGAAAGTAACACACCATTGTAAAGCAATTACACTCCAATAAAGATGTTAAAAAAAAAAAAAGTAGCTTCATGGTTGTTTAGGGCTGGAGGTGGGGATGGGGGTGTGAGAAGGAGGAAGTGGAGGGTAAGTTCTAAAGGGTACGGGGATTCTTTTTTTTTTGGGGGGGGGGTTCGCGGGCCTCTCACTGCAGTGGCTCTCCCGCCGCGGAGCACAGGCCCCGGACGCGCAGGCTTAGCAGGCCATGGCCCACGGGCGCAGCCGCTCCACGGCATGTGGGATCCTCCCGGACCGGGACACAAACCCGCGTCCCCTGCATCGGCAGGCGGACTCTCAGCCACTGCGCCGCCAGGGAAGCCCCGGGATTCCTTCTGAAGTAATGAAAATGTTCTGAAGTCCAGTGTGATGATGGGTACACAGCTTTGAACACGGTCAAAACCACTGCACACTTCACGTGTTGTGCTGTTTTGTGTTTTTTTTTTTTTTTTGTCTGCGCTGGGTCTTCGTTGCTGCACGGAGGCTTCCTCTAGTTGCGGTGAGCCGGTGGCTGCTCTTTGTTGTGGTGCGCACGCTTCTCACTGCGGTGGCTTCTCTTGTTGTGGAGCACGGTCTCTAGCAGCGCGGGCTTCAGTAGTTGTGGCACGCACGCTCAGTAGTTGTGGCGCATGGGCTTAGTTGCTCCGCAACATGTGGGATCTTCCTGGACCAGGGACTGAACCCGTGTCCCCTGCCTTAGCAGGCGGATTCTTAACCACTGCACCACCAGGGGAGTCCCGAATTGTACACTTTAAATGGGTGAATTGTATGTCATGTGAATTATACCTCAATAACACCATAACAACAAAAAAATTAATTGCAGTGCTAGATACATGCAAAGCAATCCAAGGATACCTCTCCTATCTTGGCAATTACAAGAAGACAAACGAAAATAAAAAGATTCATCCCTTTGTATCTCAGTTATCTATACTGACTGGTCTGTGTACATTCGAGGCTGGAAACTGGGTTGAATTTTTCTAGTCGTGTCAGGCATGATTTATATCCCCTTCCAATAAGCAGCATTCCTCCTTTGCACGTCTGCAAAAATCTCACGCAGGGGTTGGTGTGAAGAAGGGGGCTTGATTCAAGAAAAGGACTAAAATACTCAGAAAAGGTCTTGCAACTGCAATTTTATTCTCTTTTGTGAAAATAAACAACTGGGAGTTTAAATTGCTCCAAAAAACCCCATAAAAATGAAAAGAAATACACACAGAAGAAGCATGTGAGGTGATGGGGGAGGGAGGAGGGTCTTCAGAGCTTTGGCAGATTGCGCTAGCACGGACCTGGGTGACAGGAGCCAGACCTCGGAGCCAGGTCCTGTCTGCCACTCTGGGGCTGTGAGGGGACATCTCGACTGGTAAGGGGGTGGTACACAGGCTTCTTCACTGAGGAAGTGGCAGGCACCTTGAATCCCTTTAAATGCGGGGAAGAACCACTGCAGAGGACCTGTTCCCCCACCAAAAGCTGGAGACTGGGGCATTAGGGCCACTGAGGGAAAAGGGATGCTGGCGGAGACAAACGAGGCCGAGGTGTCTTCTCACATGGTGACAGCCTTACACTGGGCAGAGGACGAAGGTGAAGGCAGAACCCACGGAGCTGAGCAAGGGAGAAAAATGTGGGCCAGGTAAAAGGGAATGTCCAGGAATGGGATGTAGATGAAGAGGCTGCGGGCTAGAAATGGCAGCAACGGCCAACATGCAGGCTGGGTGGGGGAAGCCGGGACGCGGGGGGTGATGGGAAGAGGCAGGAGGGCAGAGAGTCCAGGAGGTAGAGACAGAGGTGCCTTCTGCCCAGGTCCATCCACCGCTGCACATACAGGAAGAATAACACACTACTTTTCAGTTCTTGTTTTTTAAAGATTTTTGTTTTGTTTTGTTTTGTTTTTTAAAAAAGCCTTAAGATCAGCTACTGGTTACATCTACAAAATGTAAAGCGCTGCTGTTACCAGTCACTTTACAGAACAGTCCAGAGTGGTCAAATATTGACCAATAAAGTTTCCTTTTTTTTTTCTTCTTCTTCTTCTGCATCATTACTACTCGATGAGTCACATGACAGCCTGCATAGGTCAGTGGGCAGCTTAGTGGGCAGACTTGGTGACCAAGGAAAGAGGCTGGGCCTGGAGCACGGGGAGGGCCTGGTGGGCATGGAGCGTGGCTGGGAAGGAAGGGGGGGACGTCAGCAGAGCTGTGGGCACGGACCCAAGGGGGAGGGGCCGGGACAGGATGGGGGGCTGGCTGCACATCTGGCCAGAGGAGGTGGCGGCAGCCTTCGCTGACAGGAAGGTAGCCGAGTGGAGAGCCAGCTGGGCCCGGGTCTCTGGCTTGGTGGTGAGGGAGAGGGGCTGGGCTTGCTCTGAGTGGGTGGCGGCCGGGGCAGCCGGGGAGGCCAAGGCCGTGGAGGGTGTGGCCGGCGAGTCCAGCATGCTGCCATGGGAGGAGGCAGGACTGTCACAGGGCTTCTCAGGGGGCAGGTACTGGACACATGGCTTCTTGCTTTTGGAGGCCAGAGCACCTAGGGGAAATAAAAAAACCACACGAAAGCGTTAGCAGCTAGGAGCGCGGTGGGAGGCGGAGGTTGCCGAGGAAGCCCAGCTGTACACATCACCTCCGGAAACAAGAACGCGTACCGGGAGGGAAGTGAGAACCTGAAATGATGGCTATGGCTTTCAAGACACCTAGAGCACAGACAAGGGGCAATGCCCAAATGCCAAAGACTCATTCAGAGCCTGCCTGGAAGGAAAATAGCTCAGCCTATCACATCTTCATCTTCCTGCTGAAATCTCATCATTCTGGGGATGGATCTCCACTCAATTTGCTTTAAGATCTTTGGTTTATGGTGCTGTCAGAGATAGTACAGCACCTGCTAAGCAACGTGGTATACAGTGGATTTTGCATCATATACATAGTTAACTTACATGTACTCCTATGGAGATGAATACGCAAATTATGCAGATGTTAGAAAGGTAGGAAAGGAGATGAAAAGAAAAGCAAGGTGATAAAAAGCACTTTAGGGGACTTCCCTGGCAGTCCAGGGTTCAGGACTTGGCGCTTTCACTGCTGTGGCCCTGGGTTTGATCCCTGGTCAGGGAACTAAGATCCCACAAGCTGGGTGGTGCAGCTCCCCCCCCCCCCCCCCCCCCCCCAAAAAAAAGCACTATAGATGGAACTAAACAAGTTCTGCACTTGTCCTGGAGTGAGCATGAGATGGGAGGCTTGACTGAAATACTGGTCACAGTGTGAGCATCTCTCTGCTGGGTGGGATTCTGCTGTAAAAAGATACAGTATATATTTGTGGCACAAAGGGGCACCCCCCAATCCAAGTGAACAATTATTTCTGTTATTCGACCAAACAAACATTGGAAGAAAACCTGATTCTATTGGATTCTCTGATAGGTGATATGTCCATCCCTAATGGGCTGCCTTCCTAAGGGAATTTCAAGGATCATTTCAGTGACATTCAGTTTTTACCTTATGCATTGATTTTAGAACCTAACCCTCAAATAAGACACAACTCAACTGAATTGAAAAGAGCCTTCCAAGTGACAAAGTGCTGGACCGTTTAACAAGCAGAGTGACTGGAAAAATCCCTTCGCTTCTTTGAGCCTCTTAACAGATCATCTCCAAAAAGGGGATAATAATAACACCCCCACCCCCCGAGTGTACATAAGGCTGAGGCCTTGAAAATGGCAGCTATCATCATACGGCATTGTCACCGTGTCCATCAGAGTCCCGGGTACAAAGTACCGGCGGGTGTAGCTGGGATAGGGAAAAAGAAGTAAAGATGCAGGGCCCTCCTGTAGACTCACCGTCTGCCTCCTGGACTTGCTGCTGGGACTGGGTCTGGGACAGCTGCTTTTCTCGCTTCCTCTTCTTTTTCTTACCCTGAAAGATATAGCCAAAGGAAGAGGTAACCAGGGACAGAATAACCGGCTTTTCTGGGGGACTCCCAGCTATGAAGCCGGGAGACAGGATACTTCCTGCACTGGGCACCCAGATCACACTCCCCTCAGCAGCCTCACAAGGTGGCACAGTGAGCCTTCCTGGAACACTGCTTCCCTCCCCCACTGGATCCCTTCCCTCCAGCTCCGGTGTCCTGGCTTTCTCGGAAGGCCTCATTCTTTTCCTGCCCTTCAGGCTGATTTTTCCATTTCTCTCCCTAGAACAGTGTAAGGTTCCTGATCTTTTCTGAGGGGTCCCAGGTCTCACTGAAAATCTAATGCAGCTGGGAATTCCCCAGCTGTCCAGTGGTTAGGACTCTGTGCTTTCACTGCCGAGGGCGTGGGTTCAAATGGGGAAAAAAACCCAAATAAACCCCCAAAAACTAACGTAGCTATGCAGCCTTTTGGCACAAAAAAAGCAAGTAACAACATACATACAAAAACCTTCCCAGTTTCAGGGAGTCATCAGAAGTGCAGGCAGCGGCTTACGCATTGGTCTCTGAGCCCCAGGTTGGGAACCCTTGGCTAGAGACACTGACCACAGAGCTAGCACACAGCTCACACTGCACCCTGAATTATGGAATTAAAGGCTGAGTCCACTTCCAATGGGACAGGCACAAATTTGATTCTGTCCCCAGGATACCAAACCATGGCCTTGTTGCCCTCCTGAGAACTAAAACGTCTTCCTTATTTCTAGAGAAATACAGACTTCTCCCTGGCCTCCCTGGAAGCTGACTCTGTTGACAGGGTCCTCTATCAATGGAGTCAGCTTCCTTTGCCCCTCTTCCTCTTGCAGAGGCTGCTCCTGGTGTCTGATGGGCACGTACGTAGTTGTCTCGGGCTGACCAGGTCGGGTAGAGCTGTGAGTGAAGCTGCCGCTCCTTCCGGGCCAGTTCGTAGTACTTGGCCTGCTCTTCTCGGGACAGGTTGTGCCACTGCGGGAGAGAGGACCAGCGATGACAGAGCGGTGAGCGTGGGGGACGCTGAGCCACACAGCCTGGAGCACAAGGGCAGGCCTTACCTTTCTCCCCAGGATCTGGTTAATGGCTGCACTTTCCTTCAGGGTGCACTCGGCCACCACCTTGGCCCTCATCTCCTTCATATATAACATGAAGGCATTAAGAGGCTTCTTCACGTGGGGTTTCTTTTCTTCCTCTTTTTTCACTGTGACGGGTGATTTCCTGGGAAGTCATAAGGCTGTAGGTTAGCTGGTATCAGCTGTCATCTCTCTAGGAGGCTAAGGGCTGTCTGCCTCTGGGGAGGGGAGATGCTGTTGCTTGGACGATAATGTAAGTTGCCTGGGGCTGCTTTCAGAGCCTGAGCACCTAGCTCCTAGCCTCTGACAGACCTCTGGCCATATTCCAGGAAAGGACAACTTCCTGACAATGGAACAGAGGGTGGTGGTGAGAGCTGGGATGCACTGGCCACAGGTGAGAAAGAGGAGGGGGCAGGGCACTTTAGGCAGAAACGGAGAGAGGAGGTCTCCTCGGCTATGAGGCACCGACTTTGGCTTTCCTGCTGTCTTTATGGCACAGTGGACAAAGCACAGGCCTTGGTGCTGGGTGCTCTGCCACCGGTCAGCCATGTGACCTTGAGAATATTCTCCTTTCTGGGGCCTTACCATTTTCGAGTGTATGGGGGGCGGGGTGGGAGGGGGAGAAGGAAGCTAAAAGCTCTCTCAGGTTCTCTTTCAGCCTCGAAGTCCTGGTTGTAAAACTTTCCTTAATGTGAGAAGAGATGCACGGTGTCTCTGAGAGGATGGGAACTCCAGGGGTCAAAGGGAACAGTTCCCAAGGGAGAGGGTGTAGTTGAGGAAGCTGCCGGGCTGCTCAGAGACTGGCCACCCCCCATCAGGCTGCCTGTTACTCACGCGATCACGGCCGGGCTCAGGCTGGGGGGCGCCGGTTCCTGCTTGACGATGGGGGAGACGATAGCGGGGTGGGGGATCCCTGAGGTGGGCAGACCAGGATGGGCCGGAGCCACCATGTGAGGGGAGAACCGACTGGAAACCAGGCTATGTACCAGATGGAAACAAAGACAACAGAGGGATTCAGGCAGAATGCTTGTCACCCACAGAGGATGTGGCGGGCCCCCAGTCTTGATGGCGGAGGCGTGTAAACACCTCTGCTGTGGCAGTGTTGGAGCAACGGAAGGCCATGCGCTGACCTCGACAGAACCGGTTTGGGAAACACCCAACAAACCTCCCTTCCCCCACAAGCGTGCAGGTTTCCTATATCTGGTGCTGAAAGCAGGTAGGATGAAAAACACAAAAGAAGATGCAGCGGGTCTGAGGCCAGAGTACACAGGGGGGAAAGAAGGGCTTAGGCTGTGGGTTGCACTTCTTTTGTCACTGGCGGTACCACTGTCAGGTAGATCGGCTACTGAGACAGAAATCCCCTTTCGCTGTTCCCCTCTCCTGACATCATTGCAGGAACAATTAATCTCCCAGCTTCAGAGTGATGTACTCAAAATGCTTCAGTGCCACAAAGCCCAGCCCAGCCCGTGAGGGGACGTGCAGGAGGGTTGAGTGTGAGGGCTTTGAAATGCTTCTCTTAGAGAGATGGGGCAAGAGTGGGCTGAGCCTATGGTCTCCATCCCCACCTTATCAGAGAGGCGGGAGGAAAGGGGAGCGCCTGCCTCCTCGCTTACTGCCAAGAGGAAGCTGTGTAATGGTCAGAAATGGCAGGGACGCTGGTAGACAACCATTCCCTGCACTGCCACTTCCTGCTCACAGCTCCAGTCCCAGGACTCACCTGGACATTGAGGCATTCATGGCGAGCGCAGGGTAGGGGTGCCGGAAGCCGCCGGGAGGAAGGGAGTACATGGGCTGTCCTTGCCTATAAGGGCCAGGAGCAAGGAAATCTGGTCAGCAAATTGGCTAAAATGGGAATGTTCAGGACAGGGAAGGAGAGGCGGTTGGGAAGAAAGGATGATAAGTAAAGGCAGGAAGTAGGAAGGAAGAGTTGGGGGGACACTGCCCTGGGGAGAGCAGGGAGGTCTGAGTCCTGGGCTTTGGTGAGAGGGCTCCACGTGGGGGAGGTGGGGGGGACGTCTGTATACAGACCACCAGGACCGGCTGGAGGTACAGAAGTTAGAACTCAGCATAAGGAAGGAGGGAGGGTAAGAAAGGCTGTAAGTTTCCTTACTGTGGGACGAGCCAGCCGAGGGGATGGGGGATTTGCCCGACAGCTCCGGGAGACAGTGGGTAATACGGAGACAGCTCAGATGGGTGAGGGGGCCGGGGGATTCCTGCTTCCAAAGAGAGATGTGTCAGACAATTCCTTGGCCCTACATTAACACCTTAAAATAATATCAAACAGGAGGTTCCTTGCCCTATATTCCCAGGTGCCCTGGAGCTTGGAAGGCCCTTTCTTTTATTATCCCTGCCCTCTGTCACCAGTAACTTCCAGCTGCTCATACAGGAGTCGTCCAAGACACAGGCAGGAAAATTTGGACTGAGAGACCCAAGATATCCCCAGAGTCATCAGCTAGAAAAGCTGCCTCATTCATGGAAAGATAAACTTTGGATCTCTGTTCCACATTTGTCCTCCTTATTATCTGTAACTCGTAGTAGCTGTGATTTCTCAAGAGGAGCTCCAAAAATGCTTTGACCCATGGAAACGCTATGGGAATTTTATGAAGACTCTGGCTCCCTCTGGGATGGAGTTTGGGTGAGCAAGTTAAAAACAACAAGTCAACTCAGTCTACTGCTTTATAGCTATGCTTATGTCTGGCTAGACTGTTTACTTCCATATGTTCAGTTTGGGGCCTAGGTTTTGGTTTAAGGAGGCACAGCCTGCAGCCGGCTAGACTTCAAAGTGAATGAGAAAGGAGATTTTTTTTCCCCCTTCCAGGTCATTCCAATCTTAAAGTTTTAAGACATTCTAACGTAGAAGCGGCAGTGGCAGAGCAACACCAAATGCTTGCTGTGGAGCCAGGCCCTGTGCATCATCTCATTTAATCCCCTTTCATCCTCACAATGACCCAGTGATGCAGAAGGGACACGTAAGGCACTGATGAGCGAACTGAAAAGGCTAAACTTAGTGGGCAGGGTTAGAGACAACTGAGAGTTGGAGACATGGTTTGAACCCAGGTCTGTCCAATTCCAGGGCTGAAATACTCCCCGAGAAGAAAAGCCCGCCCCCACTGGAGCTGTGGTGCTGGTCCAGCCAGAGCAGGCCCTGACTCACCTGTCTTTGGATCGATCTCTGGGGAGAGGTGTGTGGGAGGGGAGCCAGGGGAGAAGTGGTCGTTGCTGTAGGTGATGAGGGGCGTCAACGGGTGCATGTGGTGCGGGTGTTGAACAACAGGAACTTTATTAGACTGAAAGACAGAGAGAAAAAGACTAGGGACAGTTGCCAAGGAGATGGAGAGTACGGGCAGACCTCAGAGCTACTGCAGGTTCCGTTTACTGCTTTATTTGCAGTAAAGCAAATCACACACACTTTTTGGTTTCCCGGTGCATAAATCTATTTTTTTTTTTTTAAAGAATTTTTTTCTTTTTTTGGCTGTGCTGCACGGCATGTGGGATCTTAGTTCCCTGACCAGGGATGGAATCTGCACCCCCTACAGTGGAAGAGCAGAGTCTTAACCACTGGACCGGCAGGGAAGTCCCTCCCAGTGCATATAAAAGTTATGTTTACACTGTACTGTAGTCTGTTAAGTGTGCAATGGCATTATGTCTAAAAAAATATGCACATACCCTAATTAAAAATACTTTGTCAAAAGGTGCTATCATCTGAGCCTTCAGTGAGTTGTAATCTTTTTGCAATAGTGACATCAAAGATCAGTGATCACAGGTCAGCATAACAATTATAATAATAATGAATAAATTTGAAATATTGCGAGAATTACTGAAATGTGACCCAGAGACACAAAGTGAGCAAAGGCTGTTGGAAAAATGATGCCGACAGACTTGATGGATGCAAGATTGCTATAAACCTTCAATTCATAAAAAATGTAATATCTGCGAAGGACAGTAAAGTACAATAAAACAAGATATGCCTGTAAAACCTGTTGTTATGTACTTGGTTGAATAGATACCAGGTATTTTCCATGCAACATGCCATTCAGCCCTCGAAGGGTACTTGAGAGAAAGCAGCGGCCTATACAGCAGAGAAAGAACCAACAGAATTAGAGAAGGGATTACATCCACCCTCCTACGTACCCTCTTCAAAACAGCCCACCGTTACTCACTTCATGTGTACTGTGTGGTGCTAAATGCTACAGGCTGCTGAATTATGAACTGTGCTCTATGTAATCTCAGTGACTTTAGAACACACGCTTATCCTTTTCAGTTTTTTTTTTTTCTTCTTTTTGGCTGCATTGTGCAGCATGAGGGATCTTAGTTCCCCGACCAGGGATCAAACCCATGACCCCGGCAACAGAAGCGCAGAGTCTTAACCACTGGACCGCCAGGGAAGTCCCTCAACATACGCTTTCCAAATGAACTTCCTAGAAAGGGTAGCTCATAGGTTCACATCTGAGACTGGTAACAGAGCAGTGAGGGAACTGTCACCATCAGACCTCATATAACCAGTTGTCATGTTCAGGGTTTACAGATACCACCAAGAGCACTTAAAACAGTTCTCCCTGGAGAGTCTCAAACACTCTGCTGACCTAATTATCACATTTCATTTACAATACCAGAGAGTGTAAGGAGTACATTTTACATGACTGTTAAGAAAGCAAAAACACTGGCATGTCACCAACACATCCTGCTTCAGAAACGTTAAAAAACGGAAAAACCTCTGTGTCCTGGAATTACTAAACTGAATTAATTTTTAATTGCCTTGACATAATCTGACTTAACAATAAAGATTTTTATTATAAAAATGGCTATCGTCCTTATTATAACCTAGCAAAAAAGCTATGATTATCTTCATTTGAGGAATGAGGAAACTGAGTGGGGAAAGATTAAGTGACTTAGCCTGAGCCACAGGGCCAGTAAGTGGTAGAACTGGATTCCTATCAGCCCTTTACGGCTCTAACAAACCAGGGTGTCTTCTCTTGCACTTCCTGGCACCTCAACAGCCTAATCAAAACATCTGTCAGAGAAAGGACTGACACACATTTTTTCGGATAATAAGGTAAATGAGTTACAAGTGGAGAAGAGATTTATTAAAAAAGAGATTCGTAAACAGGATGATGATTTGGTGGCATCTCACGGGCCAGATTTCCAAACTTCTGTCTTCCCAGTTGAATGTTTCGTTTCATAGGTTCCTGAGCCCTTCAGCCTTTCACTCAGTGCCCCTTGGGTGCTCATCATGCAAGCAACTATACGTACATCTCCTAGGCGCTCGTGTGCTGACAGTAATCTTGCTCCATTTTCAGTAGGCTAAGCAGAGATGAGAGGCAGAGTCCTGGAGCAAGGCCTAGAACCCAGGGGCCCAGCTCTCAGACTCACAGAAGTGAGACCAAGAATGCAGATGGTTCATAACCAAAACCACTAGGTGGCGCTGGCACACGGCTGGACCCTGCTGGTACCTCACCTTGAACAACTTCCTATCACCACCCTTAAGTGGGCTCATTTGACGTTGCACAGTAAATTCTAAAATTCTTTTCTTCTTACTGTTTTCACCTGTTCCCTCACTGGCTTTTGAAGAGCTCTCCACGTACATGAACATACCGCACAAATAAGAGTATAAAAAAATTATTTTAAGGTCAGATTTCTAGGATCCTGATGCAACTCAATGATGCACTGAGGTTTCCCGGAAACAGCTTTGTCTAAAGGGTGATTTTTAGTATCATAAAAGGAAAAGAATTATTACTAAAGTGACAGTAAATGATAAAAAGAATTACACAAAATGATTACAATTTTTAAAAAACACATAAATTCTATGATTTAAAAAAAAGGCTAGAGGCAGTTCCCTGGTGGTCCAGTGGTTAGGACTCGGTGCTTCACTACCATGGGCTGGGTTCAATCCCTGGTTGGGGAACTAAGATCTCATCCCACCAGCAGTGCAGCGCAGTGGAAGAAAAAACAAACAAAAAGACTAGAAGCACACCAAAACATAAACAGTAAGTATATTTGAGTGGTGGGACTACAGGTGGTTTTGTTTTTCTTATTTCCCTTTCTGTATTTTCCAATTTAATTATTACCTACTTAAAACTATACTTACGATGAACACAAATTTCCTAAGAAAGAAATACAAACTATATTATAAAACATTTAGAAAACACAATCACACACACACACACACAAAAACCCCAAAAAACTCCAGAATCACACTAGCCTAACCCAGTCACTATTATCATTTTGGCATATCTCCATTCATTTAGACTTCTTGTACATCTGTTTTTCATTTATATCATTTATAGCTATCTTTTTTTAAATGTAAAATTTCAGCTTTATTGAGGTATAACTGACAAATAAGATTGTTATATATTTAATGTGTACTATGTGATGATTGGATATATGTACATAGAGCCATCTTAAAATACTTAATAGTATTACGAATCCTGACTGGCCATGTGCTCTTGAGTTTGGCTTCATCAGAAACTGACAAACAGGACTAAAGGTCTGGAAGGCTCAGGTTCAAGATGGTGGAGTAGAAGGACATGTGCTCACTCCCTCTTGCAAGAGCACCGGAATCACAAATAACTGCTGAACAATCATCGACAGGAAGACACTGGAACTCACCAAAAAAGATACCCCACATCCAAAGACAAAGGAGAAGCCGCAATGAGACGGTAGGAGGGGCGCAATCACAATAAAATCAAATCCCATAACCGCTGGGTGGGTGACTCACAAACTGGAGAACACTTATACCACGGAAGTCCACTCACTGGAGTGAAGGTTCTCAGCCCCACGTCAGGCTTCCCAACCTGGGGGTCTGGCAACGGGAGGAGGAATTCCTAGAGAATCAGACTTTGAAGGCTAGCGGGATTTGATTGCAGGACTTGGACAGGACTGGGGGAAACAGAGACTCCACTCTTGGAGGGGACACACAAAGTACTGTGTGCACTGGAACCCGGGGAAGAAGCAGTGACCCCACAGGAGACTGAACCAGACCTACCTGCTAGTGTTGGAGGGTGTCCTGCAGAGGTGGGGGATGGCTGTGGCTCACCGTGGGGACAAGGACACTGGCAGCAGAAGTTCTGGGAAGTACTCCTTCACATAAGCCCTCCTGGAGTCTGCCATTAGCCTCAACAAAGAGCCTGTAGGCTCCAGTGCTGGGTCGCCTCAGGTCAAACAACCAACAGGGAGGGAACTCAGCCCCACCCATCAGCAGACAAGCAGATTAAAGTTTCACTGAGCTCTGCCCACCAGAGCAACACCCAGCTCTACCCACCACCAGTCCCTCCCATCAGGAAACATGTACAGCCCTCTTCCATAGCCTCATCCACCAGAGGGCAGACAGCAGAAGCAAGAAGAACTACAATCCTGCAGCCTGTGGAAGAAAAACCACATTCACAGAAAGACAGACAAGATGAAAAGGCAGAGGGCTATGTATCAGATGAAGGAACAAGATAAAACCCCAGAAAAACAACTAAATGAAGTGGAGATAGGCAACCTTCCAGAAAAAGAATTCAGAATAATGATAGTGAAGATGATCCAGGACCTCAGAAAAAGAATGGAGGCAAAGACAGAGAAGATGCAAGAAATGTTTAACAAAGACCTAGAAGAATTAAAGAACAAACAAACAGAGATGAACAATATAATAAATGAAGTGAAAAATACACTAGAAGGAATCAATAGCAGAAAACTGAGGCCGAAGAACGGATAAGTGACCCGGAAGACAGAATGGTGGAATTCACTGCCACAGAACAGAATAAAGAAAAAAGTATGAAAAGAAATGAAAACAGCCTAAGAGACCTCTGGGACAACACTAAACGCAACAACATTTGCATTATAGGGGTCCCAGAAGGAGAAGAGAGAAAGGACCCGAGAAAATATTTGAAGAGATTATAGTTGAAAACTTCCCTAACATGGGAAAGGAAATAGCTACCCAAGTCCAGGAAGCGCAGAGAATCCCATACAGGATAAACCCAAGGAGAAACACGCTGAGACACATAGTAATCAAATAGGCAAAAATTAAGGACAAAGAAAAATTATTGAAAGCAGCAAGGGAAAAATGACAAATAACATACAAGGGAACTCCCATAAGGTTAACAGCTGATTTCTCAGCAGAAATTCTACAGGCCAGAAGGGAGTGGCATGATATACTTAAAGTGATGAGAGGGAAGAATCTACAACCAAGATTACTCTACCCGGCAAGGATCTCATTCAGATTTGATGGAGAAATCAAAAGCTTTACAGACAAGCAAAAGCTAAGAGAATTCAGCACCACCAAACTAGCTCTACAACAAATGCTAAAGGA